CAATGAATAACAGCGATTTAAATGACTTTTTCACGTAAAAGCAAATTAATTATATCCAATTAAACTACTTTGTGCATTTGAACTTGTTGGTGCAGTGCACATTTAAACGTGGTTTCTTGTTCGGTATTCATTATAGAGGTTGTATCAGGCTTTTTTATATGATGTAAAAATGGTTTGTGTTGTTACTTTAAATGCGGTTTTTTATCACGTAATTTATTCGCCAATCGAAATACGGTTTATTCACTCTTGTACTGTACCTGAACTAATGACGTTCGACTGGTCTGATCAGCCTAGTGTCCTACTGGTTCTTTGCTCGCCTAGCCCGTCCAGTTAAGTCCAGACCACCAATAACAGCTTCCACTAATCAAATCATTTATTTCAAACATACTTGGTTTATATACCAGCCAAACAGACCGTATCACACCATAAAATAGGAAATAACATTTATACAACATCAGGCCAAAAAGTAGTTGTGGATGTGGGAGACGGTAATTAAATAACTGTGTATAACTTAAGAACAGTAAATCGTACAATAATAATCTATAGGTCAAAATGAAGCTTATAATAAGAGGAATATGGATATACACAGTATAGTTACTGAATAATGATACAATAACATTATATATAAAATATTAGTCCATTATTAGTTCTCGGAAGTTACTCGTAATTTAATCTTCACTAGGATATAACAATTTGAGGATCTTTTTGTTTTATAAAGAAGTGTTCAAAATGTTAATAAGGCGATTTCATATCATGTTTAAAATCTTAACGTTAAAAAGGTTGTTTATTTTTTATAAATTTTGATCAATTCCTCATCTGTACCAAATATTTAGTGATATGTTTCACTAATATTCACCATTGTTGGTTTTCGTCTTTAAATTAAACTGAAACCCATGAAAAGTAAACATAAAATGTTCATCATTATGACGAAATACAGATCGATAATAACACATACACACGTACATTCAACCAAAATACAAATGAAGGATTTGTAAGTGTCATCACCAAAGTTTGACTCGATAATTTCGAAGGATTTTTTTAAGTCAACCAATTTGTTCAGTGACAAACAAACTTGTTAACAAATGAGAAAGAATGAAGAATATTTCACTGCGTTATCCAACCATAATTTTAACTTATTGGAAACGAAAATTCAACTGGACATTTATTATATTATCTTTGAAACTCTCCTTCATGTCTTATTGTTTCATAAAAAATACTTAAATGATCGCTTTATTCCTTGTAATTTTATATATAATGACACTTAACTAGTGCAAATCTCGGTAAAACTAGCAGTTCTGACTTTAAACAGAACGTTTTGGAAGTTGCATTATCTTAGTTACTTTTTCTTCTTATTCACAAATAGTTCTACAAAGTTCTTACTTTCAATTTACTCATTAATATTCCATTGGGAATAAAAGCGCTGTGTGTGTGTATTAGAAATCACGTAGATTTTCGCATTCCCCATAATAATAGAAAACTTTCCATTTTCATAGTACCTATTTATTTTTCTAAACAAAGATCTACGTGTTGATCACTGTTATATTTAAAATTTCAACTAAATCAATCAATTAAAATACCATGTTAATTGTGAATTTGTTACATTTTCTTCAAAGCCGTACAAGTATTGGTTCGTGTGTTTGGTTTTCATGTATACGTTTTATGTGAGGTTGCCCAAGCTAAAGTAGTCAGAGCTAGGATTAAATTTGCGACCTCATGGTTGAAATTCAAGTGCTGTAACTACCTTAAGCTACTGCTTACCTTTAAGTAGAAAAAAAACGAACAACCATAAAACACTGAGAAAGTATTATGAAGGTTGCTATCTTAGTTGGAGATGCCTTTAGTCGTAAATAAGCGGTGTTAACTTGATAGTTATTGAACATCGTAGTTAAAGACTAGATGTATTTACACTAACTTGGTTCTTATTTCTTTCAAATTTCAAACTTCTATAATGTTTAAGGCTCATTAGTCATGTCTAGTCTCATTTCCTATTTCTGGAGTTATATTATAGTTTGAGGATTTAAGGATACTATTAGTTGATTGATCGGTTTAAATTCAATAGATTCATCGTCTGTTAGTCATTACTCGTCAACAGCATAGAACTTAGCACAATTGTGTTTAGATCTAATTACACTACATCGAAATAACAAAAGGGAAATCGGAAACAACGTAAAAATGTGTGGCTTGAAAAGAGGAAATAAGATGGTGAAATGAAAAGCATAAGATTATATTAACGCTCGAGATTTCAGGGAAATTGCATTTGGCCCTCTGCAATCGATTTTGAATAGTGTCATTTAGACATTTCAGTCATAAAGTCTACACCATCTAACATAACTCAGATCAGAAGTAGATAATTCCTTTAATTGATACTCATTTCCATTGTTTAAACTGGAAATTTAGTATGTAAACATCAAGTTCATAAATCACAACTTAACATATTACATGACAGTCCAATGTCTGTTGAGTTTATTTTTCAGTCTTTTTAAAAAAATAACTACGATATATATTCGTTAGTAGGCAACTATGCGCACCATAAGCGGCCACCCTATAAATCTCTCCTACTGTACATAATCGCAATAATGATGGTAATTTATCTAGGTCTATTATATGTATCTAGATTCCTCACTCACATGCTTTTCTTAATACACTATTTGTACCATACACATCTTATAGTCCAAAAATAATTTCTTAACTATTATGTAATAGTTTTAGGATAAAGTAGATTATTGATTGGTTTGATTTGGCACATTTCAAAGATTTTAAAAAAGAATTTATTCACAACCAAACCATTAGGGTATCCGTCCAAAAGGATGCGGTTAAAAATGGTGATTACCAAAAAGGCTCATATCAATAAAGGTGAGCATTAGAAGAGGAAATTACATTCTTAATGATGTGAAAAGTATTCGATTCGCCATCTGTCCCTTTGCCTTACAACATATCAAAAAAGAAGTTTTATAAATATCTAAATAAGGATCTACCCTCAACAAATACTGTAACTCTTCGAATTCGGTAACAAGTTTTTTAAACCTCCCTAGTCATGTTGTGTCGTACGTCTATTTCGAACAGCTAGGGGGATAGTCTGTTTAGACGGATGTTTCGAAGGTCCTTGAGAATGTTTGAATTTCATTTTAAAATGTTAATAACGCACCTTTCGAAACTATACAGTTATGTGCAATTCTACTTCGGTATTCTAGTGTCGATCTGTTTTCGTAATTTACTACGACCAGTTTGATACGTATATCCATCTCCCTATACTTATAAATAGAGAAATAATATATTTGTAATATCCCAGTGAGTAGGAAAATTAAATTTTCTGACGTTTCATGACTCAATGTAAGCCACTTCCTCCCATTGCGATATTACAAATATATTATTTTTTATTTATAACAATCTAACCAATGCTCAATTCCTTTGAAATTATCAAGTCAAACCTTGGTAATGATTTCTTATACCTATGTTTTAAGTGTTGTTACTGGATTCCTGAAACAGACCTTTCGATCTTCAAACCATTTAGACCCTGTCCTTTTTTCCTGACTTCATCAGTCAATCAGTAACAGAGTAGGACCAGGCACTTATATGCATCGGTTGCAACACTTGATTAGCACAACAAGGTGAACAAATTTATAGCAGTAATATGTTAGTAATATATATAAATAAATATTGCATCTAAGGATATGATATAGGGAAAAGCAATTGGTTCGTAGAAAGAAAAGTATTAAGCAATTATAATCTCACAGTTTAAAGGAAGTCAACGACTATATACACCTACAACATTGTGATCGATTCTGAGTCATTTCACCCGGAGTCTCCAGTCACTGGTTATGAGAGTCGTGCAGACTCCAACCGGGTAAGTCTACATCTATCAACTTGGCTCAGACCAGAAGTTAGTGACTTTGTCCACTGATGCCACGTTTTAATTTGGCCACCACTACCTTTCTCTCATATATCTCCAACACTAGTCAGAATTGCGCGTCGTGGTAATCGGTGTTCAGGCATACACAACACGTGGCCCAAACATCTCAGTCGATGAAGATTCACAACCTCATCAACTGATTTACCATCATTCCCTAATACTCCTGAGTTTAACCTCACGATTACTTACCCGGTGATCCCAGAAGATACTGGCAATACTTCTAAGACATCTGTGGTTAAATACTAGTAGCTTACATCTACTCTTAATAGCCACGTCTCCCAGCCGTAAAGTAAAACAGGTCGAACTGCCGCGCAGTATACTCGTCTTTTAATTGATAGACGGGTATCTCACCTTCACTATAGGTGACGTAAGTTGGCAAAAGCCAAACGGACTTTTTGAATCCGTGCAGACTTCATCGGTGAAACCCGGTCAGTATTGAATACCGTACAACATATCCCGTAGTGGCTAATTAGTTTATTCATCTCAGTCTTACGGGAGGTTAGTCACAATCCAGATAGCTTAGTGGCAATGCCATTGGTTGTAGCAATGGACAACATAGTTTCCAAATGTTTTAGGGCTGATGAATTCTCTAAGTGCCATCTATAACTATTGTTGACGAGTGCCTTTCATCAGGAGACCTAGGTTCAGTGCTTCATGCTAACTATCATTAAGTTCTTTTGACCACTTTACTTAAGTTATTCAGACACTGGTTACTGTTGTTTGTGAGTACAAAATAAATGGCTTATGATTCTGCGTACGGCTCACTGTATCAAACGTTTTTTCCTGTCTTATCATTTTTAAGATGCCTTTTTGCTACTCATCTTGGTGTAATGGATACCCGAACATAATTGGCGTCTAACTTGAACAATTAGATCGATATACGACCATAAGATCATCATCACCATGTATTCCCTGTTTTTATGCCTGTAACTGGTGAAGCACTTTTCTTATGTGTTTGTTATGCTACAAAATAAGCTGTTTGGTTCATAGGTTCTGTGTGGTAATATATATATATATATGATTATTTGCTAAGTTTTGTGTTTTATTTTTCATTGAGTTTTATTTCTTATGTCTATTAATCTGCGAACAGGTCTTGCCTCTAAACTAAACCTAAAGGTTTGGTTACCAAACAATCAAAATCGTTTAATCAAGCTAGCTGCACAAGGCGGTTGTACTATATGCAAAGAACTGCTTCAATATGTCGTTGATAGTTCTCACAAAGCTCAACTTCATGTTCTACCTATGCAGCAATTAAATGTGACAGGCCTCGTTGAATATCAAAAGAAATTGGGCAATCGATTACCAACTGATCCTTTTCACAGTTCATCAACCCTTTCTAAATTGAGGTCTATTCTAGGCTGGCGCCCAACTGGTTGGTCTCATCGGCAGTCAAGTAATACTCAAACATCAATGAAACCTCCACGGAACGGCATTGTTTTGGAACAGAAAAAGGGCGATATTCACATTTATGGTAAGTTTTCTGATGGTTACATGTTTAGAACATGTTCATATTTTGTATTTCTTTATTTTCAGGATCAGTATCTAAAGTAGAGCAATACAGAGGTTTGTTGAATGTTGATAATCATTTATTTTAGGATCGAAGACAAACCTAGTCATCTTTTAACTTGTTCTTAAATAATTTTTTTAGTCATTAATGTTAGTTGTCATTGTCAGTTCAGCTTTGTTTTGCCGTGCATATCGACAATCGGTTTCAAGATATTCCGCTACCTAATTTTAATTGGTGCATTTTTCATAATATTTACGTATATTACTTTATTTTAATCTTCGCGTAAAAGTATTCTAAAACTGTGTACTTAAGGTGTGTGCAATTGATAAATCCTTAGTGGTTAAGTGTATTTACCTTATCATCCTTGTCAAATTGCTTACATGTATCTGATAAGGCCATTAACAAGTTTCTTAATCTTATCAGCTGCATTTGAGTTGGTTTTCCAGAAACACCTTTTTTCATTTTCTTTAAGCATTTCACAAATCACACCCAAGTTTATGTATTGATCTCATAGGCTATCAATTCTGTATAACTACCTGAATTTTGACAACCTGGAGCAAGATTTGACCAAGTATTTAAAACTACAACTGCAATTAAGCATGTTTATGTACATATATGTTTAGGTCATCTCATTTTATTATCATTACTGACCTAATGACAAAGTTTTTGTCTGGAAGCACGAGTTTATTTTTAAACTCTTTGCTGTTATCTGATTACACTTTGCTTTTAATCTTTTCCGATTCATGGTTGTGTTTTGCAAATAAATCAGTTTAATTCATTACTGATTACCATTCGTAATTATCTTTTAACCTTTGATACTCATCTACCTAATCACTTTTAAATTTGATCCATAAACCATTTTTGTTATCCATTTCATCGATTACCCGAAATCTTCCTTCAGACACATAATATTCAGTTTCAACATTTTAATGTAACCATACATGAAAGAAAAAAAATGTTATTAAGTTTTTTTTAAAATAATACTTTACTACACTATACTGATACATTTTCACACTAACTTTTGATCAACATCATATCTCATAAAGTATGTTAAATTCTATTATTTTTTATACGTTTCGATATTGAACTATTACAGATTGTTAGTAGGTAATGAGAGAGTACTAACAAAATAAAATAAAATTTGTATTATTCTATATAAATTAATGTTATTGTGCTGATTTACTAACATTCCTATATACAGCATATATATATATATATATATATATATATATATATATATATATATTATATATACGTGTATATGACATGAGTTAACTGTTGAAGTACATCTACTGAAAATTACATTTGAATTAGAGCCAATATATTTTGTTTGAATCATTTATGTAATTTATTTTTGATCATTATCACTTTGTAATAAATATATTTCACATTAGTAATTATACAGTGTTAGATAGATAGATAGATAGACAGACAAGGAATTAGCCATATTATCTCTAACATTACATAAATTGGATTGCATTACATTCATTCATGGATGTATGCGAATAAACAAACAAACATAGTGAAATACAATATCTGTATACTAATAAAAATGGTTACTTAAAAATCAATTAAAAATGTTGATTATTAAAGGTAATTCTAGTTTTTTTTTATACTGAAAGAATTCATCTAAAATCATTTATTTCATTGTAATTATTATTTTCTCATTTCAATTTAGTGAATTAAAATGAAATTCTATTGTGTTTTCATTATGTATTTCAATCAAACTGGATTACCTATCATATTGACACTTCTATAATGTTTTGAAGATACTCATCAACTCACTTGTTTATTAGTAAATGAAGAGTTTAAAATATTTATTGTAAAGTTTACTTGATCTTGCGAAGAAAGTTAGTGTAATTTAGAAATGATCATCTACTGATGGTTATTTGTAGACAAATCAATTAAACGTCTTTTTATTAATTCAAACATATTGGAATATCTATGAATACATATATTTTTAATATGTGCTTACAAATACTCACACTGACTACAAATAGAATAGGAGTGAAAAGAGTTCGTTAAATCAATAGTGTTCGATCGTATTGAGTCAGAGGCTGGATGATGATTATATCATCTCGTGAATAAACCGAATTTAAATGTATAGATCATTAGATTCTGAAGCTAACTCACTGACATACTCTTGTTACTCTCGTGGAGCGGCATAGGCCGCCCACAAGGATTCTCTATTGAACTCTGTTCTAGGCAATGTTGTCCAGTTGCTATTCATTACTAATACCCGGATGCAATATGTCCCTTGATCTTTTCATTTTCCCTTCAGGATTCTGTGTTAAAACTTGCCTCGTGATTCAGTTTGATGATTTTTTCAATGTATGTCCTGCCGACCTCCAGTTGAAAGCCGGTTCGTTCTTTCCCACAGTAGGTTGTTGCTGATGGTATCCGGTCAACGAACATTGAGTATCTTGTGTAGACAATTGTTTATAAATACTTGTACCATTTTGATAATGGTTGTAGTAGTTCTCGTAGTTCCATCTCCATACAATAGGACTATTTTGACGTCTGTACTGAAGATTGTGACTTTGATGTTGACTGACAGTTGTTTTGAGTTCCAGATATTCTACGACAGTAGGAATTCCGCCTTTGTTTTGCTGACCCTTACCTTCACATCCGTATCAACTCCTCCTTGTTTATCGATGTTTCTGCCCGATCATATGAAAGTTTATTAATTCCAGAGCTTCTATATCAAGTGTCATTGAATTGGTGTTCGCTGTGCTGTATTTCGGAATCTTTCTTGTGACTTGGTGACCATTTGACCTCCCTTTTCCTTGACTGGTCGCTCTGAATCCTTATATTTCCGTTCTAGTTTCTTCGTTATACCATGTAGTTCTCTCACATTTCAGCCCTTTCCAGCTTTCGTCCAATGGGTTTCACTTATTCCAAGCACCGTCAAGTTGTATTTCCCCATTTTTGCAGCTATTTGATTGGTCCTCACTGTCTCTCGCATTATGCGTACATTATATGTACCTATATTAATTGTTGCTCTGGCTGTTAGAGGGGACGTCAGCCTCGTGGCTTCCGAAGAATCTCGGATTTCAGCATGGGACATCATAATTCTTCTAAATGAAGATCCTTCAACTCAAGTGACAGAGTTTTAATGGTTTAAATTGTTTATCGTGATTGGCATTTGTGGCAGGGTTGTTTTGTAAGGTGTGGGGTTGCTAACTCTGTCCAACAGTACTTTCCTATCTGGACTTGAAACCGGTAGTAATATTAGAAGGGCTACGGGTGGAAATGGGTTTCTGGTTTTGTTATTGATACTTGGCAGGGTCGAAGGTTATAACTGTCGACCAGTTTCATACTTATAGAAAGCAGTTTCTTCAACCAGTCCTCTTAATAGACAATATAATTCAAGAGGGGAGAATGTATTCGTGGAATAGAAATTGTGAACTGGTTTTCAAACTAAAGATCTAAGGGAGCGAAAGAGTCAGTGGATCTCTTCTATTGTTATTGATTATGAATGATGCCATCAATTATCTCTAATCATGGGTTATGATAATCTCATAGAACCAGAACACACCGCTCCACCGCCCTGTCTGTTTCTAATAGTTCCCTAACTGAGGTCAACACATAAGAAAAACTACCTTTAAATTGAAATAATCTCCTTAACCTTCTTGTCTGAATCATTTTCGTGTGTATCATCGGTTCTAGGTTGCTAAATGTAAACTACTGATGAAGTTTCAACATTTATTATTAACTGAGATAAATAAATTATACTTGTATCTGATGCATACGAATGATAGCTGACACAGAAATTCGTTAGGATGCTAGTAAACGATTCAACTTCTTAGTTGGTAAGATTTATCATAAATTTCATTGAAAAAAACGTTTTCTCTGTTGTTAGTATGATATATTTCAGTCTAGTTTAACAGATTCAATGGACTTTCACTTTGCCCAGTAGGAAGATCATTTTACTTGTTACCTAATAATAAAACACCATCAAACATGATTGTCATTTGTGCATTTCAAAGCAAATCAGCAAAATGTAAATTTTGAAACTGTCACAAGCTATTTCGTTCACTGGTATAATGATTAATCACTAAAATTGAGGTAGAAAAGTGCTGTAGCGAGTAATATTGGTTCAGTCAATCCACATGTTGATTGTGTAAGAACTAATCTTCAGGTTAAAACAATCATATTCCTTAGTTGTCTAAAAGTTTATCGGTTATGGAACGGAGATTGATGAAAAAGAACTGTGCATAGATATACTTTAGTTGACTTTTGGAGCATAAACTATTTCAGTTCTTATTAAAATTTGATCTGTCTAAATGTCTCCATGATCTTTACCTTTGCCCAGTTGCATATGTAGGTTTCAAAGATTTTTCAGAGTTTATCGGGATTACAACTGACTGTTAACATAAAATATTATCCCAGAGAATAAGAATCAGCTTGGTTTACTCTACATCAGTCTATTAAAAAAGTAGGGAATCTTATTTTGACTTCGTCAACCATCTTGTGTTTGAGAATTGAACAAACATAAATCAGGTGATGCAAAATAGCTTTCAGGTATTTGCTTTCACTCAGTTAATTCCCCTTAGTTTTGAACATCAGATTATATGTCTAGGCTAGTGGAGAGATCTTGAATCTGTTAAGTTCTCGATTGCCATTAGGTTAACCATCGATCAGGTGACATCATAGTTATTTGGCTATATTCATCCGTAAACTATTGTCACTTGATAATTTTAATCACGAACTGGTTTGATACCACCAATGAAAACTAGAAAGCACTGAACAAAAGTTTCGTATTAGTATGGGACCCGTTGGCAGTGCGCAACCACAACCCAACCGGGGCTCGAACAAAGGACCTTCGGTCTCGCGTGCGGACGCCTAAACTCTAGACCACTGAGCTGGGATCCAATGGTGTATGTATCTAAATTCAAACAATTGCGATATTGCGCGACCATATATTGTCTACAGTGATTAACTGTCTTATACTCGATTTGGTTGCCCACTGCTGAGGAGTTCCGTATTGGTTCGGAACAACTGTGTAGTGCCTTCTGGTTTTCAGTGGAGGTCTTATTAAAATCAATCCATAATATAAGCTATGAAATTTTAGCAATCTATACAAAACCACGATACTAATGTCATTTGATTCACTTATGAATAGAGACGAATAGAAACGACTTGAAGCACGGTACAGTGATGTATTAGTTTAAGTTTTGTTTTATATCAGGGAAGTAAAGCTGTAAGACTATGTAACAGGTTAACAACAATCTACGCTTTCTTGCCGATTTCAGCAAGTAACAATATTTTCTCATGAGGATATAATAATCAGTGACATCTTTGATCCGTTTATTTACTTAATCCTAATTAAAGTGAACATTAAGTTCTAAATGAACTCAGTGAACGTAATCTATTTCAGTCAATCTAACAGATACAAATTTACAATATACTTTTAATGGTTTTAAACTTGAAACAAACACCAGACTACCTGTTATTTTTATATATCAAACACTTTCATCAATCGTTTATCACATCAGTGGAATATAAGAGATTGTATCATACACAAACCTCTATCCGACTCTACAAGTGATGCACCGAATTTTTCTTATTTTGAGATTTAACCATTCAGCAATCCAAAATGCGTATAAAGGTTGTTTAATTACTGTACTACTTGGTATAACATCACATGGTTAGACGAACATATTTCGTATTCCACTTAAATAAACAGTTTATAACCAATGAAAGTTGATTTCGCTATCTAGTAATAGTTGTATTGTAGTAGATTTCCATCAAAATTATATTACTCATTGGTTGTGAATGAGCATATGTGATGTGTCATCTTTTTGATGACTTTCAAATGAATTAGATACTTAATAATTAAGGTAACGTGATACTTTTTTGTTTGATATTATCACCAATGCACTGTTAATTTAATTGTTATTCACGTGTTTATTTGTTGTTTGTACATTTGGTCACTTGTAGCAATTAACATAACGAACACATGTATTCATGGAAATCACACTTTTCTTGGATTATGATGTCTAGTCTTTGGTTGTGACCAGTGAATTTACAGAAAAAAAACCCAGAAAGATTGTTATCCGTGTATTTGATAAAAATATAAGTATAGATTCGTGTATATAACCGTAAAAACAGAGAAAAAATATATCGAACTGTTGTGTATTCTAACGGAATTCATTGGACAGGAGGAAAACAATTTGATGGAACAATAATTGTGTAGCTGATTCATGTGTCTTGAAAACACCGACCAAATTTCTCCAAAGTACATAGCTTTGTTCTTATAGTTATCTCTGTTTGATTATTGTAATACCGCACTCTTATTTCTGTAGAACTTTCTGGATACTATAATTAACAATTTAAGCGTTGGTTATTGTGATAGAGAATGTTACTTGTTTGACTTCGAGGGTTTCTTACACTATTTTCATAAATTGTATTGATATCTTACAGGAATAGTCAAACGATTTCTATTATCAGTTATGTGAAATACTCTTAGTGGTGAGAATTTATTTTCCCAGCTAGTATGTATTACTTACAAAACGAAGTTTAATTTTTGTTATGTATTTAAAATGTTTTGAACCAAGAATTCACAGGTTCTTATTTTAAACTCGATTATTTCATATTATGATCTTAGTTTGCCAGTTATTATCTCATTCGGAGGTCAGAGTGGTAACTATAGTGTATTTTAGTTGAAACAGTAAATTCAAGAGGGATCGGACAATTGTTTCTTTCCGATTTGTTTTTTGACGCTAAGCATTATGAACTGTAACTTGGATTAGATAGCCGGATATCACTCATCTGAATCGAAAATACTAGTGTTCATTGACTAAGATTCTTCTCTATCACGAAACCACTTAAGTACCTAGCTTTGGATCCTGATTTCATTATCATCCTTTTGACGGCTGTATTTTTGAGTATGGTTTTATGCAACAATAAATGAATCTATTTTCGCCTCCCATAGTTAACATAGTGAGGTGATTTAGTATCCCATAATTCAGATCGATATGAAAGCTTCAACTCTTAATTTAGCTAACAAAATTTAATTAAAACCCTTATCAAGATACACTAATTGTGTTGTGAATTATTACTATACATATTGCAACTATAAGGATACAATTATTACTAATATAAATATAGGTAGGGGAGCAATTGATTAGTTGTTATTTTTAGTAATATTGATTTGGGACAATTTAATAGAAATATATGTTTACAGTTTTTGTAGAGTATGCGAAATATCTGGGCTTTCATTTTTTAATATAATCTCAGTGAGTTTATATTTTTCGTTATTCTTTTGGAACAGGTAGTACTGCTGGGGAATTTCGAAGTATGCTATAAAACACTATCTTGCCTTGAATATTTATCCACCTTGGGTCATTTCATGATAAAAACTATACTCAACTCATGTCAATCTCTATTTATCAAAATATATCCTCTGTAAATAGCAGGAATTCCGAAAGTTTTATTTCCACATAATTTAGTAGTAATAATGCTTCTAATATTTCTACATTAAAATAATGACTTATTGTTTTTGTATATTTAAAATAGGTGCATCATATAGTGAACATAGTAGTTTTCTGGAGTTAAAACAATTCATTACACGTCTTCATCCTGTACAAGTACAACCTACTGTTTTTGGTAAATCGATTACTATGACGAAAGATACAGTAAACAGCTGGTTGAAATGAAAATAAACGTCACTGTCACGGTAAAGACCATTAGTTTAACTTGGATAAATTATTCTTACAGAAATACTTTTCTTGCTTCTGTTAAATAAAATATTGATTTATGGAAAATACTATTTTTCTTATTATTGGGATAGTCTACCAATCAAATCTATACTAAATTGTTTGTTTTCTAATTATTCGACTGCTTTAACTAAACAATTTGGATTTCTGTAAGAAGATATAACTCTACATCTGACCATGAGACCGTTAAATATGAGCACAGAGAGTAGAAGTCATATAAAGTTTTCTAAGCATCATACGATTGTTGCACCATTATTACTTAGTCTACATGTACGGTTTGATAATAGGAGGATCGCAATACCACTGCATGAAATTTGTGTTTTTCTCAGCTATATAAGTTCCATGGCGGGAGTATGCGCGGTAAGAAACACATGCATCTGGGAAATAATAAGGTCACGGATTGGCTGGATGTACGCTTAATCTCTATTTTCTCAGTCAATCATAACTAAAGTAGGACCTGTTCTTCAGTTCAAGTTGGCCTACCGTATATGCACAATGAGACAAAATTATCAAAACAAAAGCCAGAGTGATAGTAATAGCAGCGGTAATAGAACATATTAGGCACTGGCAATATGACTTGAGGAGGTAATCGATTTACGTACAAAAAGTATGAGATAGTTTTCAAACTCAGGATCTAAGGAACGACGGAAAATCAATGTATTTATGCCACTGTTAATGTTTATGACCAATGTCACTCAAAGTCTCAGGGAACTAATAGAGTTTATCTCCCAGACCACGCCTAAAGGTCCTGCATCTCTAATAATACTTTTCAACAACCAATGGGCTGATGCCACGTTTTGGTTTGGCCATCCTTAGCTTTCTAACGTACTCCTACACCAGCCTTCATCGCACATCGAGGTAGACAGTGGTTGAGCATACGCAATGCATACTTACTACATCGTCAACTGACTTGCCATTTTTACCCAATACCCTGCATCTAACTTCAACGTTGCTCACTTGTTGGTCCTAAAATACACGAACAATGCTTCAAAGATATCTGATCAAATTTTAGTAACCTATGCATATCGTCTCTTCTAACGACTGTGTTTCGCATTCATATAATAGAACAAAGAACTGCTATATGGGAATCTTGTCCTTTGGTTGATACATGGACATCTCGCCTACACCACAAGTGATGTAAGTTGGTGAAGACTCATCGGGATTTCCGAATCCATCCCAAGATCTCATGAGATATGAATCCACCAAGGATGATAGAACTTACAAGTTGAGTAGTGATCGACTTTCTGTCATTACTTCGGGCGTTGATGCAAGTCACTTCTGAAGCACCGTTTGCAACCCAAATATGCTTACAGTGCAGCTCAAGGCGATCAGAGAGCTGCACTTGGTCAGCTTCAGCAAACAAGATTATATCATCTGTATATTCTAAGTCAATAATAGGATCTGCTGGTGGATCAATTTCTGAAATGTTAGATGCCGACAGCATCAATTCTAAAACAAACGGTCATAAGGCTGAGGTCAGGGCCATTTATTGCGGTGATGGTTTCCCTTACATTCTGTACCTGTTTCTTTGATATGTCTAAAACATTTTCTACTACAACCTTTCTTATCTCCATTTTTTGGCTCTTCCTTTCCTATAAATCATAATTCGGCGAGACTATAATTTATGGAAGAACCAACCACGTATAAGATAACGTCTCGGATTTTGGCGTGGAATTCACTCATCCATTTGGCTAAATAGTTTCGGCATTATAACTGATGTCAGTTTGCGATGAAAGCCATATATCTAATTTCTAACCTTATTCATCAACTGTAAATCATAATTTTAATTCTTCACATAGGTTTATAACCCTCATTTGTCCTGGTTATTAGGTGGACGCTCTCAAGGTCAGTCTAGCGTCGCTCAAAGGTCGTCCATAAATTATAGTTTCACCCATAATTCATAACACTTCATAATCTTAACATATCGGCTTTACCTTTTTGGCTACTGTCCTATCGCTATTACTACTGGCAAAATTGTCTTCACTTCAGTGTCCGTCATAAACATTTTACCTAACTTGGACTGCATATAACAATTTGAACTACGACACATTAACACCCTGTCTTCAGATTTTTGGATGTGATAACTCGTTCAACCAAACTGGAGCAGTTACCATAGGTCAATTTCTTCTAACTACGATAGCACGATATAAATTAAGATTATTCTATACGGATAAAGGGAGGATTTACCGCTTTAATTAATGAAAAAAGTTCGTATATAGTATCTGTTTACATTGTAACCGTATGGTAATCTTAGGGTGGATAAATCAGTTATTAGAAGTCTTTGACAGAATGAAACGTAGGATATTTTTGCGAAATCAATTTATGCAAAAAATAATGTGAAGCTTTATCACTATTTTAGGTTGAGAATAATGAAAGTCATTACTAGTATACTTTTTGAAAGACAGATCGATTTTCGTTAATGGAAACAGTTGAAAACAAAGGAATGGATGAATTATTACTCTCTGCTTGAAAGACATCATACAGTTCATCTGAATATTAAAGGGAGTAGAATAAAAAAGATTTGTAGTCGTCGTCATACTGTATACTATCCAAAAAATATGTAGAAAAGAAAAGAACAAATAAGGCAGAAAATGCATACATAGTGGTTTGAATGAAACACATTAGTGTTCATTGATAACAAAAATCCATCATTCGATAAATGATCCATGTTAAATTGCTAGCCCGTAAGTATAATTATAGGAAATCAGCTGTGAAACGACTGGTTCTTCTTCATATTGAGTGGAACACCGGGGGAGCTGTCGTAGCGGAAATGATGTTCTGTGCAAAAAAGATAGCAGCATGATGCACAATAATTACAATATAATTATTTCGGCTCTAATGAGTCTGACACATTGGAGTTTGACGCTTGATGTGGTTCACGTAAAGTTGAATCGTCATTAGATAAATCTGGCGCAGCTGTATTAAAGTTTAAACATGTAAGTTTCGTGAGGTCTGTAAAAACACATGGTCTGTTTTCATCAAAACCATCGTCATCATCGTAGTTGTGGTAGGTGAAGGATTCATTGGATTGATAATTAAAACCACCTGAAGATATCAGTTCCGCTTCTATAGCAAGACGACGTTCACGTTCTTCTGAAAGCATTTGACGAACTCGACTGAGCTGGGATGCCAACATGTCCACCTTAAAAGTTCAGTAGGAGAAAATAAGATCATCACACCTTAAAACACACTGATTGATTGGAAGCTAAAGTCGATTGAACTTTATAGCTTACATTACAAAATGACTTCAGACTAAAGTCAGTTCGTGACGTACACTATAAAATTTGAAAATTTCCAAAAATCTCTGGCATTAAAAGTAGATTTAATTATGCAAAATACAGTAAATTCTACATAAACACTTGGCTCCTACGGTAAGAACAAAGTACTGATATCCCATTTGATAGCTGGGAACCAGGAAGATGTTTATTCAGAATAATTATTAAAGTGATGCAATATTTGTTGATGACTGACTACTTGATACACTATTTAAGTACGGGATTGGATTTTCAGCTTTGAGCTACACTTTATGTGTAAGGGTTAGTAATTCTACCTAAGTGACTGAACAGAAGTAAGTCTAGATGAGTAGGAACCTGTGACCTAATGTTTGAAAGTCGAGCACTTCAACTGCTAGGCTACTTTCCCTCTCCTCCATTAACTTAGGTTCAAGCAGCTGTGAAATTATATGAGCTGTTCACATAAGTGGCTTAAAGACAAGTATGTAACCTGTACGTGGGAAAATGAGTATTATCAACAAATAACTGTTTTTTTTGGAGACTAATAGCGTAATCTGCACCTTAATATCTAAATTAAGCCGGTGAAGTGAGGTCTAAAAACGAAGGATGGAGTTAAATAGTTGGATAAAGAGATAAACATGGGGGGAATGGAAAAAAGTATCAGTAAAGTGGTCTTACCTTAAATTAGTACACACAAGAGATGAATTCGAGTGAAAGTAACAACTGGATTACAGTGATAGGAATTGGTGAAACAAGACCAATTCCATTAATGAATAGATAAAATGTCAATTATTTATCTAAATGAATTTATAATTCTCTCAGATTATTGCTCAAAACCACTTTTCTTCAGCCTATCTATATTCACCATCCTGCTCAAAACTCATTAGGATGAGTGTCTCAACAAATACTTATTCGCCAGAACTCCATAAAATATTCTGAAATTTCTGTTAGGAGTTTCTAATCAAAACTACTGCTATCTTCACGTCAAATCGAACCTTTTAGGTTAATTATGAATTAATATACCCTATACAACATAGTTGATTTATATATACAAACACAAAATTTTCACTATATAGTCGGGTTCGAAGAAATTTCTAGCTGTAAGTTTTGAAAACTACTCAGGAGTATGGGTAAAAATAATCCCGAAGATCTAATAGTATCCAAATACCCTATACACGTTTATTCATGGATTAGTTAATCTATCCAGGAGTTAACGACCGTGACAAGATGAGACGCCAGATAGATTACAATGAAAATATGGTTTACCATAACCCTCTTATTAAATTAGGTAGAGTGATAGACAAACAGAACAGAAGCTGAGAAAAAAGTTTATGTTCGTTGCTATTCACAATTTATTGTAATCTTAAACAATAAAGAGGCATCACATTTTCATTTTCACAAAAACTGAAAAATCAGATAAGTGACCCTTGATGAATTAAAGGTATGAAGTCGAAAACGCAGTAATTGTTATGCTTGTTTCTGACAAAAGTTTGACTTAGGATATGCAGTTTTCGCTGCGTGAGGAGAGATGAGATTACGAGTTTAGGAAACTTTTCTGAACAAGTGATTAAGTTGGATAAATATCATTTGTTTTTCCCTAAAAAAAACTCACAAGTTTTCGAAGTTCTTCGATACAGGTAACTAATTCTTCACGTGTTTGAAATTCAGTTTTAGGAAGTTTAACAGCAGCTCCTTGTTCCTTTTTATTGGAGGTTTGATTTGAGGATAAAGGTAAGTATGACGGAGAGTCAGCTGATTTTCTGTTATAAGGTGGATGGTCAGCAGGAATTGTCTTCAAAGAAACGTTCTGGTCACCAGATATTATTTCTGTCTTCCTTGATACCGCCTCACTTAAGCTCAGCTTCAGTGATGATAACTGTAAATCAATAATTACATAATCATGATCGCCCTCTTCAACCTCGTCTCGGGTTAGCTCCATGAAGGCTTTAGAAAGTAATAGAAAGTTTGATAGTTAAAGGCTTAATACAGACTAAGGAGAAAATAGCACTGTACTACACATGAGCAGTTCAAGTTGGGATAATTCCTAGGATTAGTGGTTTTATTTATAGATCCAGATTGCATTTGCACTGAGCAGATAAACATAAACAGCATCGTAACTAGTGTGAATAGGAAGCGATAGAATTTGCCACACGTTTAGCAAAAGCATAATCACAGAATCGTAACAAGATGAGTGTCGAAAAGAAAGTGACTATACTTATCAGTATAAAAACTAAAAAAACATCAATGGACAATCTAGAATTCTTAAAGCACCATAAAAAAATACGAACATATGCAGAAACGAGACAGTGATAACTACGATTTATATAATCACTTTGGTTCATAGCGATATTTACATATACATACGTTCGAATGCCAGCAAAGTTAAAAGCATAAATACTGGGCACACATATAAGTGAAAACTGACATTAAATCGAGTGCCGAAAGAACATTAGTTGCTTACCAATAGACTTTTTATAGTAATAGATCGCTCCGTCGATATTTCCAACCTTCATACACTGTTTAGCACATCGCTCATTAAAGTGAGCCTGATGAAGATTAAAAAGTTTTGAAAATTTTAGGAAATCGTTGATACTGTATTGGGATTTGTAGCATTTACAAAAAATTTAACATACCGCACTAAGATTGCTATGCATTTCAACAAGCAGCTCCATATGCATAATTAAACGAAGCGCTTATTTCCGTCGTTTTTGACCTTGAAAAGAAAAACCTTGCTTTCGCGTTCTAATTGGTTCGATCGTGCGACCTTGGAGGGTACTCCCGGTTTCGTTTGCCTACTGATCGTCAAGAAAATATTTCTCCCTAATTTATATGTTTGGCTTCCAACACTGTTTATCATCATGGTTCATCAACTGACGTGTTATTGATTACTCACAAAGAGGCAGAAGATCCGTTGGAATAGCCTTATTTCTAACTAGACCCTAGTTACATTGTCGTAAAAATTTCAAGTGACCTGTTCTTTTCAATCAAATCTAGGCACAATCTGCGTGACTATACCTTGCCAAAGTAGTTTTCAGGGTTAATATTATCTGAGTTTCTTCGCAAAAAGTTCGGATCTCTAATTCTCCTTATTTCACGGTTGATGGATGTTTTGTGCTTCACGAATTCTCCCTACCAGATGAAGTGAACGGAAATCCGACGTTCGTTGTTTACATATCTGGAAATTATAAATCAGATACTTCCTGGGAATATGGCCAATGAAATCTCTGGAGCACAGTCATTAGATGATTATCACGTGTCTTTCGATTCATTTCATTCAGGTGAAACTCCCAAAACAGCATCTGACGCCACAAAGTTTTTTCTTATTGATGCAAATGAAGTTCTAAATACTCCAACTGCAATATCTAAGACTTCAAGTTCAGGGGGATTGTTTTTCGCCGATGATTTTCACAAACGTCTACCTGTCCTCAACTCACTTCCAAATGACCACCATTCGTCAGTAGCAGTAGAATGCGAACATCCTAATGCAACCGGTGAGTGTTCTAAACGTTTTCCTGGCCGTATTATAACTTTCTGTAGTTTAAATATGGTCCTAGCTAACTTGTCTGTCTACTAAGTTTCGTTATCACACAAACTATTTCAGCTGCTTTATTATATGTTATTTGTCCGAACTTCTCCCCATTTTGTGCTTGGTGACATGACTTAACTGGTCCATGGTACTTTTGTTTTTCAAGGTATTGTTGAACCCCAGTTAAGCGTGGATGTCAATAATCGTGTCTCAAACACACGAACAATCCTAGTGTGGTCACTTACTTGACCTCATCTGACCAGTAAGTTGAGCCAAACTCATATACCTTTTGTATATCTGAGGACGTGTTAGTGAATTTGTTCCGGTGCGAGCACAACAGCGAATTTGAAATCAGAAAAAGCACCTCTCGGCAGGATCGTTTCCGAAAGTTGCTTGTATGCAGTCCGTCTCTATGTTACAATAGGAGTTAAGAGTGACAAGGTCACGAGCCATTCCTTCCTTGTTTTTACCTATATGTATAATGACTGTAGCTTAGACGGGGTAAAAGAATAAGTCACAGGATACTGTGACCTTCGGGAAGTTTAGGTAACTTAAAGCGAGGAAGTTGAGTGGGTCCTGGTGGACTAACCCCAGAGGTCTTTTATGGTGGAAGTCCACTTTTAGCCGCTAGGTTGACCGAGTTTGGCAACTAAACGTAGTACTGTTGAAACTTCTGTATTCTATAATTATCAAATTCTTATCTAGTACTTGGTAAGAGCAAAGTTATTTAACTGGGAAGCTTCTGACATGAATGTGAATGTAATTACTAGATGTTCACTCTTCACCATGTTTTAAGCACAAGGATACTTACCGACGCCCGACCATAGTTTTATTCCGTGACATCAAATTGGCTTTCTACTGTTAACGAAGAGATTTTATGACTGATTGTAATTAAAATATGGAACAGTGTATCAACCTTGTGAAGACTCTACTCGATCACCATTGGTTATCAGTGTTAACGGCAAATTATTGTTGAAGTGGTCAACATCGACTGGTGTTTTTCACGACTGTTCACTATCTCTCTTTCTATTTAGTCTCATCGTAGATATATTCTTAGAAATAACATGTTCTTCCTCTATAGGGGGGAAATCAAGAGGTTCACTTGTCGTCAAATCATGAAGTGATGACAGTCCATTAATTCATTAACTATTGGAATGTATGATAGTTTTGCACACTACCTAGTTGGGGTCCGTGAGATAGCCCTAATCAATGTCTGGAGACTTTTAGTGACATTGATCATAATTGTTTACAATGGCGTAGATGCATTTACTCTTAATCTTCCTCTCGATCATGAAATCCAGTATTCCTTCACATTTACTCCCACTATTTCCTTTCGAACTATATTCTCAATGCTTACTCTTTTTCATCGTCAATACTGCCACATTATTTAATCTATCCTAATACGTAGCTTTTTAGTTCCATCATCATACTAATATAGTATGAAGATTTAAACTAATACTACGTTGATGACGATTGACTGACTAAAGCTGATATACATTCAAGTGATTGAACAAAACAATAAGATCTTTGAAAGGCCTTTTAAAATCGTCCAAAGTGTTGGATTAAGAAATTCCAACTAAACTTTATTATATCCCTGAAAAGATTTGTGGTAGTCATTTGTTGAATCTCTGCTGAAGTAATTTCCAATAACAAGTATAAGGAAAGTGAATAGATCACATCTTTACTAACTAATATCAGAAAAAGTCATAAACATGCTTTTACACCTCTGGTCAGTCATAATCAACGTAAAGCTTGGAGTAAATTCGCACTAGACCAAGTTGCTATACCAAATTAACACAACTAAATAAAATTAATAAGATGGATAATGAAAAGTTCATAATAATATTGAGAAGAATCAAATATTGAACATATATTGTTCGTTAAAAAAGGAATGAAGACAAGGTATGTTGAGAGGAATACTGAGAGTGTATCTGCTACACTGCAACGGATCCTGAAACAAGTGGCCCAAGAGCTTCAGCAACTTATCACTTAGATTTCAATCATTTAATCAGCACCTACCAATACGACTCCGTTTCAGTCAGTGATTTCATAAACAATTGGTGCCATGGTTTGGGCGTCCCTAGCTTTTTCCCAGTCGTCATTGCATGTCGCTTTGGACGGCCTTTGAGGGTATGTAACACACCTCCACCATCTCACTTTATAAAGATTGATAGTTTCATCAACCGACTTATCGAGGCCACGTTTCGTAGCCATAAAATAAGACGAAAACTACTCTATAAATTGGGCAGCGAAAGCAAAGGGGATTGAAAAGGCAGCGGCTGTAGGTAACACAAGACATCTCTTCGGACTAACAAAAGAAACTGGAATTAATAAGTTAAGTGCAAGTCAGACGATCTCGGAAAAAGACGACACTCTTGTCTACTCTCAGCCCAGATGTTTACAACAATGGACGGAACACTTTAGAAAACAGTTCAACTGGCCTTCAGCAACTCTACAACTACCCACTATTCCCAGACAGCGTGAATGGAGCATTGAATAGGTCCCCCGACTTTAGCTAAAGTTCAAAAGGCTATAGCTAGTCTGAAATGAGGAAGAGCAGCTAGTCCAAATGGATTGGCTCAAGAGATCTTTAAGAATGGTTGTCCAGTTTCAGCGATTAAGTTGACTAGCATTTTGGCTAAAATCTGGGAGTTGGGCTTAATCCCATCTGACTAGTCACAATCCCTGATTGTCCCAATGTGTAAGAAGGGGTCAGAATCATGTGATAACCATAGAAGGATTAGTTTTACTAACATAACACCTAAAATACTAGCCTCATTAATTATCGGGCGCCTAACTATGACTCGTGAGCTGCAAACACGTGAAAATCAGGCTGGCTTCAAACCTGATTGTGGCTGCACCGATCACACATTCACCATTAGTCAGGTTCTAGAACACTGGCATGCTTATCGGCGTCGATAATGGTTGTTTTTCTTGACTTAAAAGCAGAATTTGACTGTTGACCGAGAGGTTCTGTGACAGTGTCTGTCATTGAAAGATGTACCTCAGAAGTACATAAACCTTGTGAGGGCTCCTTACTCGAACGCTACCAGTCGAGTCAGAGCTTATGGCGAACTGTCATCTGATTTTTCAACCCCAAGTGGTGTCGGGTAAGGCTATCCACTATCACCATCTTTACTTAATTTCACCATGGAGCTACTGCCCGAAATAGCGTTCTCGTCGACCGAATCTTCGGGAATCGATCTTTTAGGAGGTCCATTTATCGACTTAGGATAAGCAGAAGACATAGTTCTGTTTGGTGAAAAGGCTGATGAAATACAGTTTTTCGGTAGCACTCAGCAACAATACCAGGATGTTTGGGATGCGTTTCTCCCCCCTGAACACATTACCACGACACGCAATGCTAACTAGTGTTGGATACAGTTGGAAGAAAGTTAGGGGCGGCCAAACCTAAACGTAGTATCGGTCCATAACATCACTGACTTCATGTCTGAGCCATGTTGGTGAGTGCAGACTACTTGGTTGTGGTCCGCGAGGCTATCGTAACCAATGGTTGGAGACTCTTGGTGACATGGCTCAGAATCGATCACAATTGTGTAGGTGTATGCACTCTCTATCTTCCCTTAAACTAAGAGATTAAAGTCGCTTCATATTTTTCTTTCTGCGAACTAATTCTTTCTTCCTGTACTATGTCCTAATATGCAATCTTTCTTTTATATACTACCACCATTGAATTAACTACTTGTATGAATTCGATGTTAATCTTGTTGTGCTAATAACTTGTGGCGACTTGGACCGGTGCATATATATGCCTGATGATACGTTGTAGCTGACTGACCATCATATAAATGACCCTTAGTAGACTAATAGGTAACTCACTCACTAAGCAGTGCGCTCAAATTCGCGAAAACCAAGTGAGGTTTCTTAATCTTAGTCAATATCCCATCGTGCATCAATCTTTAAGGACTAATAAAACTGTCAAGATAGGTGAATTAGTCAACACGCTCGGCTATATCTTAATTCAGATCATTCTTGGAACAACACTTTAAACTTGGAGGGAGAGAAATAAATGTGTTTAGTATTAGATGCCACCACTGTCTATTCTCTATTGCTTCCTTTTGGCACCACTTCTCCTAGCATGTAAGTCCTTTGTCAGTCTGTATTTGTGTTCTTTCACTCATCATACTTTAAACGTGGCAAGATAAGTTTCAGACTACTTAGCAATTTAATAGAAGCTTTCGAAATACATGGGTCTTACTAAACTTTTAATTTGGTTTAAGGTCTTGTATAACTGCAGCATATACTATGGTTGATGTCAATATGATGTATTTATGTCTATCAGGTTAGGCATTATCGCTCCTTATCCCTACAGTTAATACACCAGCAATTATAGGATTGATATACTACACGATTCACCCAAGTGTATTTCAGGTACGTTACGTTCATCAGAGTTACCAACTTTCCTCACTTATTTAATCGTGACAGACATTCTTTAAGAGGTAACTCTTTTTTTGACTTTTCGAGTATTTGTCTACTAGATTCACTTATTGACTTAGAATACGCATATGACATAATTTGATAAAAACACTAACAAGATGAAAATCTGGTCAGCCCTGGTAGGTTAGTGCTTGAAAAATTTTTGGTACGAATACAGTGAACTCATCAGCTTTCACACCTGCACCACAAGTGGAATTTCTGTCCGTCAATAAAAGAGTGAGTATTTTGCTCATCAGTTTCCTCCGTATTAATATATGGCTGCTAACCATGATCATTTAAAGTAGAAGACACATATAGGTTCCACGTACTTGACCGTATGTGCATTCAGAGCTCGTTTTCACGTTGAGAAATACCAAGTGAGTAGTCTTGGGTTTATGTGGAAGGTATTTGGAAAAAAGGACAGGTCCATCAATGAGCCTGTAAACCCACACAGGCTGAGGTGGTTGAACTGTGTGTTAAATATACTTAATTATCTATCATCCCGATATTGAATGTTAGCTGGTATGGGACCAAGTTGACAAGAATCTATAAACGTGCAAAAACATGAGATCTTTCCATGAACAATATAAGATTATGTGCTGTTAGAGTTGTACTAATGGTCAGTACTTCCCAATCATCCACATCTCGGAAAGATACTTTTTCAGGAATGTAAATGGAGACCAGTTTAGTGATAATATTGCTTAGAAGCATGACCATAGAGCCTGTGAGATAACTGCTTAAGATTGGTTACGCGTAACTTTTGTGTGAATAGTTTCTGGAACCATCATCTTTTTACTCCCTAGAGATTACCTTCAGCACCAGAAATCCATGCGTTGATGTGTTTTCAGTGCTAACTTCATTCCCAATCCATCACAGTTTCTGTTCTGCAGCAATTGTGATCGGAAGTACATGTAAAGGGTTTTGGGTACTTTAATAGCGATATGCACTCATGAATCCCTTTACTTTCGAAGGTGTGAAAATGATGAGGTTGGTTTGAGAGAAGTGTAACTCAAAATCCAACAAGTTGCCGGTGCGGTAGTGCTAAAATTTTTAATGAAGTTCGTAAAAAAAGTGATTTTCCGCACTGGCATTTCTTGTAATATTTTGAGAGGTAGTAATTACTGCGTTGTAATTCTTTAAATTGTTTGTCCTGGATGGTACAAGTAATAAGCCTTCTTTATCATTGCAGGTTTTAGGTATAGATTGTTAAATTTCTAAGAGATTTATTTTGTGAGGATATGTGAATGGTAAATAAACACCAGCTTTTTATTTTTAAAAACAGTAATACTGAGAAACCTGGTGTTCCACATGCAAATCCTGAGATTTTACAAACAGAAAACTTATTTATACCCCAATTTGGATTAAATCAGCAATCAGAAGTTAACACATCAACTGGGTCGTCTGTGTTATATTTAAACCATCTTTCTCCTGACAGTACTACAGCAAAAACTGGTTCTGTGCCTGTTTCATTGAAATTGGAATCAGGTGATAATACTGCAGCGTCTTTCCAATCAGTTATTACTAAAGCTGATAATAATGCTACAGTTGGACTGAATGATTTGCCACTCTTAACTAGTGCATTATCAAATCTTGAAAACACCTGCATCACTGTTGATCAGACGGCTGTTTCACAGTCGAATTACCTGACAAATAGATCTACTACTACAACCGCCAGTCTACCGACGATATCTAGCGCTGTTATCCTTAGTAATGTTGGCCGTACACAAAATCCTTGTTTGTCTGTTTCGGCAGACACTAATCCTGTCTCCGGAATAGCTTTTTCAACTAGGAATCAGCCTCCTTACATACCAGCCCCACTTGTTCTTGGAAACGGGCTAACACTAACCACATTGTTGACTGCTGAGAACAGCAGTGGTCTTCTAACACCTACAACTCCCAACACTGCTTTCTTGCCACTTCTTGCATCTCCTGGTCCCGGAGGTTTTTATACACCTGGAGTGTTAACTGGTCTAGCTAATCCGACAGGTACTTTTTCATTTCTATCCCCCGTTCCTAACCTATTGGCAAGTGGTAATGCGGAAGCAGCTAATATTTCCATCGGTGGGAGTTTCGCACAGACTTCTGTTACAGCGGATACTATAGTCAAGCAAGAACATATGTGCTTCACTGACACAGTAACAGTTGATGATGGTTTAATCAATGCAACACATAAATCCGTTATAAATAATCCTCCTGAATGTGCACCTGATACAACGGTTGTCACTGAAGATGATGTTGGTGATAATGAGTATTTATCTAAATCCACGCTGAAAGGTGCTGGTATCTCAAGGAGGCGCAAATCGACAACTCGTAATAAGAGTCGAATAGTTAGAGGAGAATATGGAGTTCATTCTGAAATAGAAATTCAGGCAGGAATAACATCTACTATACCTGAAAGAATATCAGAAAAGCCTCACAAATGCACTTCATGTAACAAATGCTTCTCACGATCCGATGAACTTACAAGACATGCAAGAATTCACACTGGTGCTAAACCTTTTAAGTGTGCTGAATGTCAAAGGGAATTTTCGCGTTCAGATCATCTAACTACACACATGAGAACACACACTGGTGAACGACCATTCGTTTGCGATATATGTGGTCGCAGTTTTGCTCGTTCTGATGAACGTAAGCGTCATACAAAAGTGCATCAAAAGAGTAATCAAAAACTTCCTAACTGTGACTTGAAACTGAATGTAACTAAAAGTCCAACAACTTCAACCTCTGATCCTAAGACAAACTGTGGCGAGAAACGTAGCGTCCCACAAGCGACAAAATGTTACGACACAGCTAAAAATTCTCGTAAACTGAAAATAGATCTGGCAGATAGCTCTACTTTTCAGTCTAATCCTATAAGTGTGGAAAAAGTAAGTGTACTTAACGATGGAATCAGTGTTAATCAACCTGTCCCAGAACAAAGATTACTTCTCGCTACTTGTGATTCTCATCCCGGGCAGCTTACTTTACATGCTTTCCCTAGTGCTACAGGTTTAGGTGGTTCCAGTGTCATATCGCCCCATTCGCAATTAGTCTTTGCAGCTTTGCCTTCTATGTCACTCTCCGCAGTTCCTATTTTGAGTCAAGTTAACACTGAGATTGCAAACACTTTCAATCTTGCCACCGGAACATTCGCTACACAACCTCATGGTCACTTTTTGGCAGTATCATCGACACCATTGTCGAGCTGTATTTCTAATTCTTCAACTGAAGGTAATATAGTGGTATCACAGAACCAATCTGTTTCTTCAGTCTCCCCAAGCTTTGCGTTATTATCTACCATCCCATCACAGCATCAAAATGAAATGAGCACAGAATGTGTGCATGGTACTTCCATGAACAATGTGATATCATCGACGTGCATCACAACACCGACCATGCCGAATTGTTACACTATCCGTGCTTCACTTTTTCCTCAACCAGTTCAAACATATCCTTCCGGATTTCACCATTCTCAAACTTCGCCCTATTTCACTGCTATAGCCTGTTCTCCGGACGGCCTGACTGCTAATCAAGCTGGCGCGTTTTTCGCTCCTATGATAGCTCCCACTCAGTTACCCGTTAGTACGACTGTTTCAGGCACCGATCTCCCTACCAGCTTCCATCCAGCACAAGCTAATCTTCAACCGGAATTTTTGGCTACAGCTGATGGTGTTTCTCCTACCAGTTTACTTACAGGCACCCCAACATGTATTTTTATTACTCCGAATCCGTAAGATAATTCGCTTCATTTTTATGCTTCATTAGCTTCGATTTCTTTACTGTCTTGTAACTTTGTTCTACACTAATCAATAATATCTATTCTCTTGCTGTTTACGTATTCTGTTGTTTACTAAATCTGTGATTTCGGTTCACAACTTTGAGTGTCTATGTAGGGCTGTGTCACATTTATTTCGTTATATTTTCTGCATGCTGATTTCGCAGAAACAAGTGAATACCGTTTTTCCTTAACTTGACTTTTGATGTGTAAACAATTGTAAATGATGCTCAGATGGATTTTCTATTGGTAAACATATACTCTAACGTATTGATTCTATGAAGTCAAGTACCCAATGTTTTTATCTACCTGTCAGGTTTTTTGGTTCACAACGAAGTTTTCTGTACAATTAGTTTTGTTTGTGTTTATGCATGCTTATCTAAAACTATTTCATATTTTAACTTGTAAATGTTTCTTTTTTTGAACGACCTCACTTTTATTGTTCACGAATTGTGTTTCTATATAGCAATAAGTTATTTTTCATTCTTAATTCCACAGATATTATTTAAACTAGTATTTTACGTGAGCAAGACTTAGTTTATTATCTCCTATAGAAGCGCCCCTTGTATTTCTTGATATATGTACACCTACTTAACGTTTTACACCCTATTGTCCTGTCAGTGTTTTTTTATTGTTACCATTATTCATTTTGAGAATACAAATGCTTTTTAATTTCAGTATATAATATCAAGCACTTCAACACAAGTTTTTCTTTTAATCATTTTACAGTATTATCTTATAATTCGGTAATGCATTGAGTTTTGTGCGTACATACATAACTGATATCATGTATACCCTTTGTTACCTTTTAAAAACATAAATCTTCAGATTATTTAGGACTTATTGGATACGTTGTAAAAAAGAGCTTTAGTATCGATCAGTTTACATAGTTGATTGTTTCTCTGGAAATTAAAGTACTTACGAAATGAAAATTCGATTCAAATTATTGGATTCTGTTGTCATTTGTCTTAAATCTTCTCGTTGATGGTACACATCACGTAAAACCTATTGTCTAGTGATATGAACCAGTGTTTACCGAGATACAAGTACTGAATTAATTAATATTTGAATCCGCTCATAATCTAAAATGGTTTTACTAATGGTGTCTTTTTTTAATGACAGACTTTAAATTTCACACTCTATGCTACTATTCATCATAATCAACCAGCATTTCCTTTTCTAAAGTGTCAATTATAATTTTATTTGAATCCCGTCCAAGTTAGTCTATATTTTAAAAATAAAACTACGTCTAAGCTGTTTTTTGTGAAGTTAAATTTCGTTTGATACATAATCTTAACATTTTATTTTTATATCAATAGGTAACAAATAAGACTTTTACCATAATACTCTGTAGTTAATTAAATAAATAGAAAATTAGGATTCTTCATTGATGTATGGTGGATATGGAGAAATCATATTTCGTTCAACGGCAATAGACAAGGCTGTTCGAAATAATTGTTCTGGTCTTGAGAATAAATTATGAGAGTAAAACATGACTAGGAATTTTTGACAGCCTCTGACTGTACCGCTTGTATGATAAATGTCGATTACCGATTTCCTTTTTTGTCCATCTGTTAATTAAATTAAAGCGTATTTCAATGTTTTATTTATTTATATATAAACTAGTTTAAATAAGATTTTGTTTTTCTCAGATTCAGTTTATGCATCGAGGGAAATAATTACAGATGCTAGTTAAGGTTTATCAGATTTTCCGCCGTAGCACATTGTAATGTATGATGCCTTATGCTTTGTATCTTAATAATTACAAGCTAAAGATTCAAAGAGTTGGTGCCACATGACATATTATGAAACATTTACCCCTTTCTGATATATATAAATTTTCAAAGTAAAATAATTCTTTAGACTTACTGAGATCTAAGTGAGTAACCAAAGAGAGTGCTGTTTGGACGTAAACAGACATGCTACGAAGGCAACGTATAATCAATAAACCGGAAGCAGGACACCAGTGAATTACTCTGAAGCGAGACATACATTTACCGACTCCAAGTGAACCGTGTGTAAGGGTGATGTTTTGTTTTATCATGGCTAATAAATCAGACTCGCTCAAGCGCATCGCCGCTGTATCTTCCTTTTGGCAGCCAGGATAACCTGGTATAAATGAATTGGAATTTTGAGGTTGAATCGAAATGAAACAAACGAGGTATCGATTTTTGATACGTACCATTGGGTCTAGAAATAAATTAGAAATTATACCAGGTCAGTGGTAAAGAAATTAATCTTACATTATTACGTAATAGTCAACGTCATCTTGAAATACTAATGAGATTTACTTGTTGAGACAGTATTGAACCTTAACAAGAAACAAACATGCATGAGTAATGTCGATTTGATTGAAATACTTAACATATATACAGGATGTCCAAAAAGGTATTTTAACCAAGATTTAATTCAATTCAGCTTTGGTTACGAATAATAATATAGAATTTAAATATTTAGACTTCATTGTTTGAACTGTTTTTTAGCTTGACAAACGTTTTACTGTTATGCAGGACCCAGTTTTGTTGCAGTTTTACGTAATTTTGGCAGCAAAAAATTCGTCTTGGAAAGAATGGATAATGAAATCGAGATTTTCGATGAAAAACTCATTACTACGACACAAACTTGACCATGTGAACCGCGATATTCTTCACACTTCGGCGGGTTTCTAAATGCGCTATTAAACTACCGACTCGACAGCTTAATCGAAGGAATAATGAATGTACTTCTAACAGTGTTTGACACCAGTGATAACGAATTTGTTATAATTCATCGACTCAACAGATATGTAATAAACAAAACTAGGTTTCGGCGATGAAATTTCACTTTTTTATTATATAGAGATTGGGATAAACAGTTAGTGGTGTACAACTTCAACTGAACATATTTGCACTTTCGCATCGATCCAGTTTTCAGTTACCTAGAAAGCCCGATCTGCCGTCGTAAAAATCCAGGGATAACTTGAAAATGACTGAATCTGGAGGTAGACATACATACGACGTCTGACAGTGGTAGACGCTTTCGCTCTAGTCTAGGCGAGATGTTAGTCTACCTGTTAAACTACGTCCGGTTCGTATATTGGTCAGGTTCTACATTGTTCTTGACTAGATGTCAAAACCACATCAGTGGAAAAATGCTTTGAATGGTAATGTTAAGTTTTTTTCTCGAAAAGAAAGTACAATTTATTTTGTTGACTGAACAGCTACCTGTGTACCTAATATAGTAGGACTAAATTGAGTACACTTGTCCATATGTTTACACCAACAAGGCTGGAAATCAAGCTATCAGAACATTAACATTGAACCAAAGATTCAATCTGTTAAACATTCACCCAACTAACTGGGAAATTCATTAAATACAGAGATGAAATATGCTTTATCGATTGTCTTTTTTTGCATAAACATTGAATCGATAACACTCAGATACAAATATGAACAGTACAAACATTTACGCTAAACCATGAAAACATAGGTCAAGGTTTTTATGATTTTAGTTGGGTTGGTTTTGATGGATAAAGGCCTAGATATATTTGGCTAACCTAGAGTGTGTCTATAACTCAATGACTTGAAGTTTCAGCCTAACCGATTTGTATGATGATTAAAAACCTGACGGACTTGGGGCTTGAACAGAGAATACGACAAGCACCGATGACTAATTTAGATCCAGAAACCAAGGATATTTATATTTGACCTTGGTGTTCGAAAAGCCAGGAACATGCCAAAATCAATAATCATCCAGACGGAATATGACGATCCACAGCTTTCCCAGAACACTGGGGATTTCCCGTCTAATCCTGACTAGATGAAGTGTTTTCCGACTTTTCCAGCTTCTAAAGACTTTCGAGTTCTCAAGGTTTCTTATAAGTGATACTAATACTAGATTCTGGAAGACTTTATGACATCAGTTTTCCGATATATAAAATGACATTTTACCAACTCTTCAGAGCTCAGATTTTCTAAGAGGACTAATCAAGATATTACTCGAACTCGTTGCCTATAGTCAGAATAGGTACTTGCGATGAGTCGTGAAACAGACGATTACATTTGAAAGAAAACGCATCAGGAATGTTTCTCTCGTCACTCAAGATGTTCTAGAGACTCCACAATGTCACTATCTTCAATACACAGAAATACATCCTTTCTCAAGATATGTTGATTTTTTTACCAGTCAAGTTTAATGAACATAGAACTTGTCACATATATAGATCGGTTCAAGTTGTCATGCCCCATCAGTACAGAGAGACGAAACTAAAAAATGAATATCAAAGAAGTGTAGTTAGTAGTACCCATAGTAAAAAAAAAGCAGTTTAGATATAGAGCACATAATCCGAGAAAAGGCGAATTTGCGGAATAAAATAATTCTGAAACTCAGGATCTGTGGGTAAATAAGGAGTAAATGCATCACGTTGGTACGGCTGATTTTGAGGCATATCACACAATGTTTCCAACCACTGATCATGATTATCGTACGAACCTCAGCCAGTTGGTGAGTCTGGACCTAAAAACATGGAGAAATCTAAGTCTATGACTTGAAATCAGCGATAAAAGTAATGATGAAAATGAACAACCGGTATCGCAGAAGAGTCCATAAGAGCATAAGGCGAATCTCTGCATAGTGAGGATATTGTGGATGCAACAGGTGCAAATTTATTCATAGTAAATTTTAAAAGTGATGAGCCATAGAGAAGAGCATTCAGACAAGAAGAACTGATCGTATGAAATAATTTATTAACACATCGTGATATACAAACCATAGACATAATAGAAATTAGCATACAATTACACTTATGTTATATGTAAGTAGAAAATAACAATTAATAAGTATTGAATAAGTCTAATGCTATAAACAGTCATTAGTACTCACAGAAAAATGAATAATTCCAACAGGATTGAAATTGTTACTCAATGTAGTTTAGTATCAAGTGAGATCTCCCATAATACTTGTACGTATTGCAATAAATATAAACATATTTAAGTCGAATATGGTCCAAATATTGTTAAAACCAACCGAAACTCCGTTAATCATTGGTAGTGTAGTACGCAAATCATACAATACAATTGTTTTCTATCAAACGTATGAAATCATTACTTTACAAGGTTAATAAGAGTGTAATGAAGAAATATTGAATTACACATACGATTACATACAGTAAAATTTGACAAATAATCTAGTATATCAACCATCATATTATATGTAAAAAAATAAATAGGAAGGTGGAGAAATAAAGCTGAGAACAGAAATGAAATTTCAACAAAAACGAAATTAAAAGTTTGAGAAACATTATACACTAGCAGTGACGACAAGAATTTTTGTAAGACTTTTATTCATGATGCATAACGCTTTAAAATACATGAATAAAATTCCGTATTCAAATGGATGTTATTCAGATATAGTTAACAGTAATGAAAAATCATTGAAATTATATTTAATTAACTAGTAAACAGTTATCAAAAATGAAATGTCGATTTGCATTGGGGAAAAAAGCGCTCAAAATAAATTATAAATTAAACAAGCGACAATAGAATTGAAGTAGTTTATCACATTACTCTGAAAAATTACTCACGCAATCAATAACCAACCAATAAAAAATATAGCAATAAATAAACATATTTTTGACATTGTTTCTGAATCAGCTCCCCAAAAATTGTCTGGTGGTATTGCTCGGTTGCTGACGCCATTAACATTGTGTGAATTTGCAGGATTGCTATTACCTCCTAAATTGAATGTTGTTGACAAGAAACCGAATGGAAATGCACCAATGCCCACAGACATTCGGAAATTACCTCCATCAGATCCACCGAACAATCCTCCCCATGTACTTCCAAAGCTTCCAACCCCCGGTTCTGGTTCAGTACGTCGACCAGCTGGGCGGGGAGGAATTTTAGTACGAGGGTCTTGTGTATGGTCCGCACCACGTCCATAAAGGGGGATGACCTAATGAAGGAAATTGAACAAAAATATTGTAATTTGATTACGGAAATTACCGCACAATTTTTCATATTTGAGTAAAGGAAGAACAAGGATCATGTATTCTACTCAGTGGCTTGTAACATACAAACAGTTATTGAAAACGAAATAAGTATAAACCATATTAGAAAAGTATTGAATAAAACTGAGAATAATAAGTGACAATAATTGTAAGAGAATTAAGAATTGTCTAAACGCTCGCTTGTAGGGATAACCAATAAGATAAAAGTTAAAATATCATGGAAACAATTTTCTTACGAAATAGAAGATATGTGGCAAAGATTACGTAGAACCTGGAAAATATAGAATTTTCGAGTGAAGCTCAAAAATACAGAATACGGAATGAGAAATCACAATTAGGATCATGGAAATGTTACGCAAGGCTTCCATAGATGCGATGACTGATGACAAACGACGAACTGTTCGGGGACTTTTAACCTATTCCGATTGTTGTTGCCGACATAGATGAATATACGTTACCTGAATTTGATTACTATAATTTTTTTCAGACGATGTGGGACTTACATTACAGGTGGAAACTTTAATATTGTTTGTGACTGGAATTAATTTGAAATATTTATTTAATGAAACAAAATTTTCTATTATAGTGAGATCTGAAAGTATTATTTTGCTACTGAAAAACGTAATAGTAGTTTGATTCTAAATGTGAAATTAATTTATATGGATGGGCCCATGTCGAGTTATAGTTATATCAGCTCAGAAGTAGATTATTCAAAGAAATATTCAAGCTATTCTGAAGCTCATACAAAAATACGTGAAAGCACCAAACAATTTGGATATAAACAGGAGAACCAGTAGAATGAATGAGTGAGCGAAAAAAAGCTAAACAAAATATATACATTCCAAAATATTTAAACAAAAGAATAAAATTTCGAAATTGAAATACCAAGATTAATTTTAATGTCTTTTTTATACGACTCAGGGTATTAGGGATGTTAAATCAGTTGCTGAGGTTGTGAATCTTTATCGACTGAGATGGTTGGGCCACGTGATAAGTATGCCTGAACACTGATTACCACGACACGCAATGCTAACCGGTGTTCGGGATGGTTGGAAGAAAGTTAGGGACGGCCAAACCAAAACATGGCATCAGTGCTTGAAGTCACTAACGTCTAGTCTGAGCCATGTTGGTAAATGCAGACTACTTGGTTGTGGTCCGCGTGACTATCGTAACCAATGGTTGGAGACTCTTGGTGACATGGCTCAGAATCAATCACAATTGTGTAGGTGTATGCACTCTCTGTCTTCCCTTAAACTAAGATTAAAATCGCTCAATATCTTTCTTTCTACGAACTAATTCTTTCTTCCTGTACTATGTCCTTATATCCAATCTTTCTTTTATATGTTACCACCATTGAATTTTATGAATTCGTTGTTCATCTTGTTGTGTTAATGAGGTATGGCGACTTGGACCGATGCAAATATGTGCCTGGTGATACGTTGTAGCCGACTGATATGAAGCATCAATAAACGCATAGTGTTTAGAAAAAATAGACTACCAAACATAAGAATGCGTAGATTTTAGGAATATAAATGACTTAGAACATTATAGTAAGGGCAAATTTGCTTATCGTATAAAATTACCTTTAATAAGTTACTGTTATAGAAAAATAGAACTCACTTTATCACTACTGATAGCAGCCTTGCAAACAGGGCATACCGTGCGGGTTTCAGAAGTTTCAAGCCAACGATGGAGGCATGGCCAACAAAATAAATGGCCGCACATGCTAACTACCGCATCTCGAGCTGAATCAAGACATATATTACACTCAAAAGATCCCGTTGTCCCATTACTATCAGTGGTCTCGGATGTGTTGGCTTGATTTGACTTATCAGGGTTGCTTTTAGGTATATTTGACTTCGAGGTAGAGGCGGCTGTCGATGTTTCCATTTATCCTTTTTCGTCAGTTGTGTAATAATTTACCTAAAAGAACACCCTGAACATCAAAAGAAAATAGGAAAACCACCATAGAAATTATAACAATCTCAGTGTCAGTTACAGAAAATTAAAAATGATTTACTACACATATAGCAAAATCATATATATTAAGGATGTGACAAAAGGTGTTCTCTGAAACTTAGCGGAACTGTCATGGTGAGATTTATTTGACGCATTATGATAACAGCTAGAACAGAGAAAAAAGATAATCCTGCTAACTTTAGTTATACACAGCATCACGACACGTCATGAAATAATAAATTTAAGTAGAATTAAGATGAAATCCTTGTCCATTAATTTACTCACAGAGCTACACAACTTGAAATAAAACACCAAAAAAATCTCAATGAGTTGCTGATTAGTTTAAAATATTGTTTCTTTAGATTTATTAATTGGTACAAATTAACAGAACATCGTATTGTTGATGAACTGTGAATATAAGGTCAATATGAACAAACGAATGATAGCTAGTAATCGGATTTGAAACCTTCGGAACTGAAGTATTCACAAGGAATTGATATGTGCAATTAATTCTCAAAGTTTATAAGCTATATAATTGAATTTAAACTATAAAATACACCAGTACGAAAAAACTGAATGCTATGAAATCTTGAAGAGACATGCTACTTTTTATTATTTCAATTATGAGAATTGACTCTATGATGCTCATGTACTTCTTTAACTAGCTAGCACAACTGAACACAGAACGGTTGCACACGACTCACTACACATAGATCAAGGTCAGTTACATAAAAACAATTTAAAGTAAAATATTTGACTTTAAAACGAATAACTTGTTTACTATTTTATAATGAAGGGAAACAATCTGGATCTTGATATTTCTTGTAATTCAATGAGCATGGCTGTATTCAAAAATACATTAAATTATTTTTGCAGATGATGGAAATATAGTGGATAGCTAGTCAATTATATAATTATTATTAATTTTTCCCACTGAAACAATGGCTTAGTGGTTATATAACACTCCATTTTTATATTTACTACGTTATTGGCTAGAGCTAAGTTTCACCTATGTAGACAACATCGTCATTTCACATAGAAATTTCCGTTTAAAATCAAATATACGAATAAATATTCGCAACCGATTTACATTACTATTTCTGATTTTTGTGACAGAGGAATTAATACTTATAAAAACATTTATAAGCTTTTTATAGTATGAGTTAACACTTTCCTAAACCGTTATTGTCAAGCAATTTTCACAATCTATTCTGGTCATTGACTTTACAGTTTTGCATCTTAATCAAGTAATCAATCACATCAATGGCAAAAATGATGAAACATTATAGACTTCTTATAGAATTTGTTGTGCAGTTTAGGAAAATAATGATTTGTACAGATAATATTTCAAGACTAGGTATTATACACATAAGAGTATACTGGTTTGTAGAAAAATAGTTAACAAATGCAAATTAAATTTGACAAGCCTCAGTAAAAAAATCAAACAACATTACGTTCGGAAAAATGGTGACAAAAAAGACAAAGAATAGTAACCTAAAAATATGTATATTTTTATTTTTTTTCCTCCAGCATACTACTATTGAAATTAATACAACTGTTAGAGAAATTACAAGTCACAGATTACAAATGCACAGTTTCAGCAACAAGACACATCTCAGATACAAAGACTTTTGCTAAAAATAAAGGATATTGACCAGATTGAAATATTAATTCATTAAGGTGAAGAATTTGAATTCTGAACAGACACTATTTCATGAGTTCTAGACTGATACACGGCTAATTCAGTTGTTATATTTTGAAGACAAGACGATTTTACACGAAGACCAGCTGCGATTCGATTGAAACTTTTCTCGTAGACTTTACTGAGCTCTTCAAAAGCACAATTAGGTGGTTTTAGTACAGGATACTAAAAAACAGGCACAATAAGAAACAGACGTAAGGTATGAAATGTCATAAAAATTATTTACGATTAAATTTAAAAAGTTGCATTTCGACACAAAACAAAAGCAAGATGTGAAAATCGACTTCCTCTTTTTTTATTATTAATTATTGATAAAAGTGAATTAGACTAATGATTTATCTACCATTTTATTAAATTACGATCATACGTTTAAGCAAATTGAAATCGGATGCTTGATCAATATTAATTCTTAGCTTCTGTGTAAATCGACAAACATCATCGCCGGATAAAATAAATATTGAACTAAACACTATAATCAGAGTACATACTGGAGAACGGAGAAACGACAATAAAATTTATGGTTTTCAGGGAAGTATTATCTTTATTGTTCGGTATCATAAATATAAACTGATATTTGAAATAGCAGTCAACTGCATACAGGAACCAACCAAGATTTGTCCCCTATAATCTATGATTATTTGTGCTATTGCTCAATTCGAAAACATATAATTTAATTAGAATTTAATGATTACTAAACAACTAACACTATGATATACTGTAAATAATATTTTTAAAAAAAACAATTTCACAACCTGTACTAAGAAATCTTCAGACAGCACATGTGTACAAGCATTTGAAGCAATCAATTGAAATTCTTTACATGAAACATCATGACACCAAGTAGACCAACAATCGGTAACCTCTACCAGTTGATCAGTAATAGTTACCAATTTCGTTGTAGTATAGTATAAACCAACAGCGAAATTGTCTAACAAACTGAGAATTGGAGAATGATTTGAATTAGTGTTTATTACTTTATCTTTTTTATTCTTTCTCTTTTGATATTTATTTATTTCATGATGATAATGGCTAAAATAGAATGAAAAACAGAGTATAACGCACCGTTGAAAATTACAATTATTCATAAAAGCATATTTCAAGAGCATTTATTAAGATTTAGACTAACAATCCATATCACTTGATATAAACGCAGTTCAGATATGATAAATATTTATAGCATCACAAACTACATTTAAGTAATCATTATTAGATTAGAAACTATGGAAGAAAGCCAGAAAGCTTATGCTCGAACATTCGTTTGTTGAGACCGTAATCAGTGAGAGCTTAGATAAAGACTATGAATACAGAACAGGATTGTTACAATTGACGTAGATTACATGATTATAATTAACACTAAACTATGTAATGAAGAATTTATTTTTAAGAAATTTAAACAAGAAACTAAGCTAATAATCACGATACTTTTTACTTGAGTGAGTGACAACTGAAGATACAATTTGTTGACTTCGCTCATTTTAAACCATAATTTCAGTAGCGAAAATCGACTTGGAAAATGACCTTCTATAATCCATTACTCCATTGTAAGAAATGTTGATCACTCGTTGGAAGAAATTTGATGTAATCTCGTTTAGGAATTTGAAATTTACTCGTAGTCTAACTACTCGTTAATTGACCTACTTACCATTGGTGAAGTCATCAGACAAAATGTTCGGTTGAACCGCCAAGATAACTAAGATGATAACTGTGATAATATGTTATCTACACTCGGGGTTGATGCATATTGCAGATTTAAAACCAGTAAAATTATGTGACATATAAGTATAATTCGTGTATTAAAGAATGATTTGTTTCATGTAAGGATAAATAATACGTGTTTAAATTTACCTCCTAGGACGTAAGGCACTTTGAATCATTGATACTAGCAAAGTTGCCAAAGAAATACTTTCATAAAACATTGTCAGGATTAATAAAACACCACCAGGATGAACAAAATCGTTATCACTAGAAATCCCGTTAGGCAAATGATCATCTTTTGGTGAAGACAGTAAAGAAGTATTTATAGCTGGATAAACCTTTGGTATGTCTGTATCTTCAGAAGTAAGCTGTCCAGACAAAACGATTCATACAAGGACTGAAGAAGATAGTCCATGGATTTCTTAGTAAAAGCAGCTAAATGTAACAAACATGAAGAACAGTTTTAATACAGTTTATTTATTGGTAACAAATTAACGGAACTGTTCTCAATTTTGCAATGAAACTATTGTGACTTACAAGAGTTTTCGGAAACCAGACCATGAAGTCCTAATATAAGTTCAATACCGATAGATAAAACCCTTCGGTATGGTCCGTAGCAATATAATGAAGCGCATGATACATCTGGCAAATCAGGGAATGTTCTGAGTATTTGATCACGTTTTACCATAACACTCCATGACTAATAGAGGAAAGAAATAGGGACAACATAAAGTGATTCTTGTAAAGGGACAACAATGGGAGGAATCATATATGAAACTCTAATAAATTTTTATTTCAGTATTACCTTTGAATTACATCTTTGTTTTAGGCCAATAGACATAAACGTATGACCCAGCTCAGAGTACGTCATAGTGACTTGAATGCATTTACTGTTAATCTTCCTCTAAATTTAGAACAGTAAATCATCTCAAACTTTTCATCTTCTAATCCCATTTCTGAATACTATGCTGCTTTTCATCTAGTTAATTTCTTCTTGATTATTCTGATCTAAGAAGCAACTAAGGTCGACTCATACTTGTGCCACGTGCTTTGTTGTTTATAATTAACTATTAGTGCAAATATGAACCTCTCCAATTAGTCACATATCATACCAGTACTCCAAGACAAAATCAGGAGAAAAACCAGAGTGGATGTAAAAATACCAACAGCATAAAACAGGTAACAACTTTTGAATAATATGTTCAAAACTTTCAGGAAGTTGACTGATGAATTTTTGTGAACTAATACGACTGATTTACTCAAAGTACTTAACAGTAGTTTAGTTATCTGGAGAATGCTGACTAAGGTGTCTACCTGCCGACATGGCTCGGACCAATCATTAATGGTAGAATGTCTTGGTTTAACCAACATTAATACTTTAAACTAATCCGGAAAAATTACTCCACCACTGCGAGATTACCTATGACAAATTAAATAGAAATAGGGAAGCACACAGACCTGATGAACACCACTCAACATAACCAGTTCAGATGAGAGTCGGTCACGGGGTCGGATTCGACTGTTAGAGTGAAAAACATTCAGTACGTTTATTCAAGCCCTCAATACAACTTCATATCATCAGGCATATTCGACTGGATTAGAACGTGGTCTTCGGATTAAAGAACACGTTCACGGATAGTGAATATGTTTACAGCACAGTAAAGATTTAGTCGATAAATTGATATTTTAAAATTAGATTTTTTGGTTTAGTGATCCTGAGTTCCAGTTATAAGGGATTGGGTCGATATTTTAGGAAACGTGATGATCATATTCATTTCTTTGGGGATTACACAATACGATATCTGCCCTAAAACAATCAAAGACCAGTGGACAGACGTGCAGTCGTTGTACTGTTAGGGATGCTAGACTTCCATTCCCTTTGCCGGTTTTGGTTGATATCTTAGGGGCGGCCAAACCAAAACATGGCATCAGTGCTTGAAGTCACTAACGTCTAGTCTGAGCCATGTTGGTAAATGCAGACTACTTGGTTGTGGTCCGCGTGACTATCGTAACCAATGGTTGGAGACTCTTGGTGACATGGCTCAGAATCAATCACAATTGTGTAGGTGTATGCACTCTCTGTCTTCCCTTAAACTAAGATTAAAATCGCTCCATATCTTTCTTTCTACGAACTAATTCTTTCTTCCTGTACTATGTCCTTATATCCAATCTTTCTTTTATATGTTACCACCATTGACTTTTATGAATTCGTTGTTCATCTTGTTGTGTTAATGAGGTATGGCGGCTTGGACCGATGCAAATATGTGCCTGGTCCTATGTTGAAGCTGACTGATTGACATTAGTTGATATCGTAATCTTTTCAAACGTAGCATGTACAAAGACTATCTTTAAACTCTAACACAATGTTCGTAAACTGAAAGGTTGGTAAGGGAAAATGAGAATGGCATGATGAAATGTACGACTTTTTGTACTGTGTAATATGTTAGTAATGCTGAATTCCTATCCAACATAGATATTTACTAAACAGTTCACATACACTACAAATTGTGTTTACAGGAGCTAGTGTGTATCGTGATAAAATTGTCATTTAGCTGAACTAACCAAAATTAAACATAGCAACAAAAAAGTCTAACGATATGACATTCACGAAACAAAACGAACTAGTAATTTAAAATTGCTTAATTCTCTTGTAGATGGTTCTTTGGTATGTGAATCGAGATCATTCATTGTCGATAAAAGACTGTTTAAACTTTTGACAGATTCTGGTGGTACGTTCTCTGCAACTTCATGCTGACTTTCGGAAATCATATAATGTTCAACTTTTACAATTGACATTACAAGCGAAGTTGCATAGACAATAGCATTTAGAGTTAAACAACGGAGATTTAACCACGATTTCTGAAAAAAATACAGAAATAAGAGATACGTTGAAACAGCAAAATAGCATGATATAAAGTAAGACAAAGGGATAAGAACAAGTTTGCACGTTTTATAATGCTAAATATAAGTGATAATTATTGGTTAAATGATAAGCATGAAATTTCACCAGACTATTAATTCGAAAAATATAGAAACTAAACGACGATTACCAACATCATATTGTGAAGTAATAGAAGAATTCGGAATCGTTCAAAATTTACACATTTATGTTCTGACGATGATACGCAAGGAGCCACAAAGTGAGGTGTGATTAAAGCGAGAAATGAACGCCAAATGAATAATTAAGACAACACAGTCCTGCTGTAGGGAGTCCCTTGAAGGAAGATTTGATTCTGTCTTAAAGAAGAAATAAGTATGGCCACAGAAAAACTATAATCACAAGTCAATGGACTTGGAAGAGAAAAGGAACTATGCAATAGTCAAGGTGTGAACTAGCGCAATTGAGCCGAGTGAAGAAGATTAAAGAGAGTTAATTTTAACATATCACAAAATGGATATTCAAAACCCATTAAAAATTGTCAATTATTATAGTAAACCAGAAAACTAGATATCTTCGACAACAGTGAACAGATGTGTACATTAGTGAAATTAATTGATTAAAAGATTGATAACTACTGATTTCTGACATTATATACTAGATGGAATGTTAATGAAGGGATCTAACTGGCATTAATAAGAAATAAATGCTGGAAAGTAACTATTTGAAAATGGCTCGAAAAGATAAACATAGTCAGGAAAAAAAGGCTTATGAATAAATAGGAAGAATAGTTAGCTTACCAAATGGTCAAATGACAATCGAACGTTTTCAACTCGTTCATATCTAATAAAAAGTGAGTTAGAAATCGCGTAAAATACTTCACTTACTGATCAAAGTTCGGTGTGACTGAAAAGTCCCGGCAATCAACAATCATCGGAAGTTGTTTTGTAACTAAGAGGTTATGGAAAAACAGTATAAACAATTAGACTCATACAAATAGACACTTGAAAAGTGTTCATAGGAAAATCAATTGGCATGTCTGATAAGCAAGTTTTATCTACTTACCATTATCAATACTAATTTGAGCCTGACCGAGTTGCTCAAGAAGTGTATCAAAGCTGAAAGTAAAAGACAAAATTTAAGCCAACACTGTGTAAAAATCTATATAAAAAACAGATGATTTATCTATTTAAAACAGATTTTGGTACAATAGGACACGGAAAAAATCCGCCACACAAATGAATTAATAATATTGTGACGAAATAAGGGAAGGGTAGTGCACTCAATAAATGAGCAAGAATAGTGTCCAAAAACGATCACGGAAGTTTTCTTTGGGTTAAGCAAGTTTACCATATTTTTATGAATGTAAAATAAAACTACAGCGGAATCATATTCGGATTCTATTCTGAGTTATATCTAATAACGTACTTAGTCCAATAATTCGGACGATTCTAAAGGACTCACACAGAGGGTCGTGATGAACTAGCAGATTCCAGTTCCATATTTATTTCCTATATAATGGTGACATATCATCAACTGACCATCTTCTCGTCTCTTCACCTAGTTCGAGCGTCGGTAAAAAACTCATTAAGCAGAAGTTAATGGGATGATATTCGTAAACCATATCCAAGCTATGGAATCTAGTGTTTCAAACTATCACATCAACTGAGTTATCGTCATTGAGTGAAACATATTACCGAAACTCAGCACCACTAAAATGGTGTTGCCATCAGGTCTCAGGAATCCTTTGGAGAAAAAGACCACTGAACATGGTGAGACATTGAACATTCTCAACCTGAAAAAGCCAGGTTTTACGAGTATACCATAGATCTGTTCTTACCAAACCTTTTATAGTCAGATTAACATCACGATGGCGCCAAAAGTGGCCTACATTGACATACGCCGCTTTGGCTTTCAGTATATGTGCACTGACATCGTCAGTTACGACACTACTAGCTATCGTACAACTATCCAGATGCACGAACTGTTGAACACAAAGACTCCTGCTGGTTTTGTACAAGTATTTAGTGTTTTAAAGGTGAAAACTATATGCTGCACTTACGAACATTGATTGAGAGCTGATTAAATGAGGTTTGGACAGCTTATGCACTATCGTGCAGTCAGACAATGTTTTTCTCCAGATGACAAATCCACACTTACCACATACTTCCTTCATATCTGTTTCTAATACACCCTCGATGGAAAAGTTGAAGAGGAATAGTAAGAGATGACAACACCATCTAACTCTACTATTCAGATGGGACAATGTAGGGAGATGGTTGTATGCCCTTAGTATATCTGAGGCGTTTGTATACAGATTTATCATAAGCTCCTCAACCACTCCTTGAACAGACAATCCCAGAAAAGCCATATCTAACGAACTGAAGGCACCCTTGGTATGAAGAAACGATTATTGTTCTGTAATAAATGTGGTGGTGTCCGAACGTATGCCAGAGAGTGGAGGTGATAAAAGCACTCACAATCGGAAAGAAAGGCATTCTGCTTGTCGCGAGTAAGCTCTTCACGAGTTTTGCACATGTTCTGTGGAGTATGACGGATGATAATAGTTTAAGTAACGGAAATTGTATTTATAATCTTATACCTGGTACCAACGTGACATGGTTTTGATATTAAGTCTACCCTACCATGGATTAAAATATATCACAATAAATTACAATTCCTCCTACTTCCTGAAGAGAAAAAAAGTGCAAAAGAAGACTTCTTGTGTTTGAAATTTGGGTAAATTTTACGGATATTAATGAACTATCACAAGAAATAGAAATCATTTAACCTGTTATATTCAGATTAAAAACTTTTATCAGAGGTAGTAATCCATACTATAATTCTCAACCAATACTCTCAAGTATGACCACTTTTTATTACTGTTGTACGTAACAAATCAGCATGCATCACGTTGTCGTCTAAAGGTCACATTTTCAAAGCAAATAAACGAGAGTGAATTATGGTTATATAAGGTGAATACTTTATTAACCAGGAAAAATTTATAATCCATATTCAAACTTTGATTTTACGGTATGAGTAATAAAAAAGATATCATCAATAATACTTACTCATGTTGTGAAACAATCAACTGCCAATGAAGCATTTCAACACGGACAGTTAGAAATACGTCAGCATTATGAAGTTGGCTGATGAATTGTGTGAATTCACGAACTTTTGTATAGGCATGTTTTCGATATGCAGCGACTAAAAACTCTTCCGCTTCCGTGACCATACTGTTGGAAAGTGTTATAATCTTCTGATAAAGACTATGTACAGAACTAATATCGTCAACTTGTGACTGTGTAGCCACTATACTTGTACACATGGCCAATGATGGAGAGGGTTTTACAATTAAATGCCTACAATAGTAATGACAGTATTAAAAGTAGTTTTACACTTCAAGTCAAAAAACAATAATAATTGCTTTGTTCAGTGCAGAGCAAACCTACATTCGTTTGTGGAACGTTAGATCACACATGTCACATTGGTAAACTCATAAACAAAATTAAATACTTGTCGGTAGATACATGAATATGAAGAATTAACACTAGAAAGTCAATCAACATCGAAACAGAATCTAGCACGAATGTATATCGGTTTGAGTTGCTACACTTTACACCAGGACAACAAAAAGAGAAACTAACATATTGAAGACAGAAATCTTCAAATGGAATGAATATCAAAGTATGAGAAATCCACCTGTAGCTCCTCTAGAGTTACTGCCGGTCCCAAGCCCGGTTAAAGGAGGAGGGTTGAGCATGGGGTTAGCGTCCCCATCCCATAGAAAACTAACTCGCTAAAAGACGCTAACCAGAAAAAATAATTCAAACCATCAAAACTCTGCCTTGGGAGTTAGGTCTTCAATTAGAACTATAACGTCTCATGGTGAAAGCCGAACTCCTTCGGAAGCCACGAGGCCGATGCCCCTTCTAACAACCAGAGCAACAATTTTTTATAGGTACATGGAACGTCTAGACAATGTGGGAGACTAGGAAGATCAGTCAAATAGCAACGGAAATGAGGAGATACAATTTGGCAGTACTGATAATCAGCGAAACTCATTGGACCCAAGCTGGACAGAAAAGGCTAGCTACGGGAGAGATGCTGCTATACTCCGGTCACGAAGAGGAAAATGCTCCACACACTCAGGGAGTTGCTCTAATGCTGTCCAAAGTAGCACGAGATGCACTTGTAGGATGGGAATCTCACGGATCCAGAATCATCAAATCATCATTCAAAACAAAGAAGGAGGTGATCACAATCAATATTATCCAATGTTATGCACCCACCAATGATAGCAACGACGATATTAAAGATCAATTCTACGAGCGGCTGCAGTCAATCATAGAGAAATGCCCAAGAAAGAACCTCACCATTCTAATGGGAGATCTAAATGCCAAAGTCGGAATAGACAACACCGGATATGAAGATATTATGGGACGACATGGACTGAGAGAAAGAAACGAAAATGGGGAAAGATTTGCAAATCTATGTGCATTTAACAAATTGGTCATAGGGGGCACAATATTTCCACACAAGCGTATACACAAGGCTACATGGATCTCACCGGACCACACTACAGAGAACCAGACAGATCATATTTGCATCAATAAAAAATTCCGAAGGACAATGGAAGATGTGAGAACCAGGAGAGGAGCTAACATAGCTTTAGATCACCACCTAGTTGTGGCCAATTTAAAACTGAAGCTAAAGAAGAACTGGACAAACAGTACTACAAAGGTTCAATACAGCCTTCCTTCGAGATACTTACAAAATCAACGAATTCAAGGTAGCTCTCAACAACAGGTCCCAAGCCTTACAGGATCTACTGAAGGAAGAAGAAACTACTATGGAGGACAACTGGAAAAGCATCAAAGAAGCACTAACTTCAACGTGTCAAGAGGTCCTGGGCCTCAAGAAGCATTATCATATGGAATGGATCTCTATAGAAACACTGGACAGGATGAAAGAAAGGAAGAATAAGAAGACAGCACTTAACAACAGCCGAACACGAGCAGCCAAAGTGAAGGCATAAGCTGAATACACAGAAGCAAACAAGCAAGTGAAGAAGAGCATTAGAGCCGACAAGAAGTACGTGGAAGAACTAGCAACGACGGTGGAAAAAGCTGCAAGACGAAATATGAAACAGCTTTACGATACAACGAAGGAACGAGCAGGGAATATATAGTAAACCAGAGAGACCGGCCAAAGATAAAGAAGGTAGGCCAACTACTGAAATACAACAACAGCGGAACAGATGGGTAGAGTAGTTCGAGGAACTCCTGAATAGGCCGGCTCCGATGGATCCACCGGAGATCGAAGCAGCACACACAGATCTTCTTATATATGTCAATTCACCAACGACGGAAGAAATCAGAATGACCATCACACAAATTAAGAGCGGGAAAGCAGCAGGACCCGACAATATACTAGCTGAAGTAATGAAGCCAGACATCGAAGTAACTACAAACATGCTTCCCCTTCTATTCAAGATTTGGGAGAAACAAGTGCCGATGGACTGGAAAGAAGGATACCTCGTCGACATATCAAAGTAAGAAGATCCCAGCGAGTGTGAGAAATACAGAGGTATTACACTACTGTCAGTATCCAGAAACGTTTTCAACAGTGTTGCTGAACAGAGTGAAAGACGCAGTAGACACCTAGCTTCAAGATCAACAGGGCGAATTCCGTAAGTATCAGTCGTGTACAAACCGAATCGCGACACTACGGATCATTTTTAAGCAATCAATTGAATGGGATTCGTCACCATACATCAACTTTCTTCGACTATGAGAAAGTGTTTGACAGTGTGGATAGAAGGACCTTATGGAACCTTCTTATATACTATAGTGTGCCTGAGAAGATTGTCAGCATCATACGGAATCCATGAGACGGACTACACAGTAAAGTCGTGAATGGGGGTCAGCTGACAGACGTATTCCGAGTGAAGACTAGTGTCAGGCAAGCCTGCTTACTCTATCTCTCTCTTTCTTCCGGTGGTTGACTGGATTATCAAGACTTCGACATCTCAGGGAAAGCACAGAATACAATGGACAGCTTGGATACAAACAGACGATTTGGACTTCGCAAATGACCTAGCCCTTCTATCCCATACACATGAGCAAATGCAGGTCATGATAACCAGTGTAGCAAAAGCCTCTGCATCAGTAAGCCTCAACATACACAAGGGAAAAAGTAGGATCCTCAAATACAACACGGAGAATACCAGCACAATCACACTTGATGGAAGACCTCTGGAAGAGATAGAGAGTTTTACGTACCTGGACCGCATCATTGATCAACAACGTGGGGTCTAATACACATGTCAAGGCACGGACTGGCAAAGTAAGGGCCACATTTCTACAAATGAAGGACATGTGGAGCTCGAAACAACTGCCAGACAACAAAGTCACAATCTTCAATACGAATATCAAGACAGTTCTACTGTACAGAGCTGAGACTTGGAGAACTACTACAACTATCATCAAGAAATTACAAGTATTTATAAACAGCTGTCTACGCAAGACGCTGAATATCCGTTGGCCGGATACCATCAGCAACAGTCTACTGTGGGAGAGAACAGACCAGTTTCCAGCTGAAGAGAAAATTAGCAAAAGACGCTGGAAGTGGATAGGACATAAATTACGGAAATCATCAAACTGGATCACAAAGCAAGAGCTAACTTCAAATCCTAAAAGGGAACGGAAAATGGGAAGGCCAAAGAACACACTGCGACGGGAATTGGAAGGAGACATCAAAAAGATAAATAGCAACTGGAAAGAATTTCCCAGGACAGATTTCGATGCTCCTCTACAAGGGGTAACAGGTGTAAGTAAGTAGGTTTCCTAGAACAGATATTCAGTCATTCAACGTCCCCATTTTAAAAAAACGATTATATCCACCAGCAGTTTTATAACTAATATGCTGTCGTTGAAAAAAAGATATGTTTAAAACCATGAATTCAAATCTACTTAACATAGACAATATTTAAATTATAGAAGACTTGCTTACCCTAGTGAAAGGAACAGCAACTGCTTGATTTCAAGTTTGTCTAACTGGGGCAATATAAGTTCAGGACAATTAAGAAAATCTGAAGAGTATAAATTACACAATTTTATGCGCAAATGGTGATTAAGATTTGTATGTTCTAATCCGATTATATAAATCCAGTAAAGAGAAAGAAGTCCAGTTCCGAGAGAGAAGGAACACTCATAAGCCGGAGAGGATGTTTCCAAAAGCGAGGATAAAGATAATAGCAAAAATCCATCAACTGGATAAAGGTCAATAGTTGTTTCATTATTAACAGCAACATCTTTTAACTTCTTTAGTAAAACTTCACTACGATCTGGGGCATATCCAAAGTAGTAACGAAGTAATGACTGTAAAGAAGCTCCTTGATTATTAGCACGTGCTATCTGGTGAGCGCACAGATGACGATAAATAGTCTTATCTTCTTTGTTTGTCTGTAAAAAGTGATAAATATTAACAATTATAAGTGGTGACTCAGAAATCTCAATGGCACAAATGCAATCATTCTTTGTCTTTCGTTACTTCTTGAACACCAAAATCTTACACTTTTTCTACACCTACCATTGTATACTACTACCAATACTGTTACCAATTCCACTACTCTTGGATTCGTCTTAATGCTTTCATCTCGCTGTGTTTATGTTGGATATGACTAACTGATTGTTATAAGTGGTCAGACTCAAGTAGATATAATGGATGACAAAAGAACTTCAATCAAGTAGCAAAATTTTGGCATAAAGCAATTATGACTACAAAACGAATAAAAACATACGAAAGAATCTATCCTACTTTTGGTACAACTCGTGTCATGGTAAATACACTGTGATACATTTGTCACGAAATAATATTAGTGTAATGCATTTAAAGTGTTGTGATCAGGCTCTACGATACATTATTGTGACGTAAAACATAAAACCCTGGTACAAATAAGAGGTATTTGATGCACGACATTAAAAAGAACCTCCAGAATGCTACAGACATTCAATAGTAACGAAAAGAATAAGAAGCATCTAAAATCTTGTGTAGTCCGTGAGGATGAACTAATCCACGAAAATTTAAGTTACTTTATTAAATGGGATGTGGATAGTTGGGAAAGAAGTAGCATAATATTAGTATGCAATGACATACATGTACAATAATGATGTTAGACTAAAAATGACTTACGAAGTTCAGATCTGTCTCAGCAACCTCCATAACAAAACTAATATACTGTTGAGAGCAAAAAAAAGATCAATGTGACAATATTAAGTCATTAATGCCTTAAAATTCAAAGATCAAAATGACAAACATATCAATTAGAATTTTTCATATAAAACATAACAAAAACCGCAATACAGAACATGACATTTAGAAGTAGCAGTAACAGAAATACATACTCACGATCAATGATTTAACCAAATTCTCACGTACATTCTTTGAGGGTAGTTTATAATAAAATACTTTTGTCGTGACAACAGTGACAGATAAGTATGTCTAAGAATATGCACTTGACTTGACTGTTAATTCTGGTTTATAAATGGACAGACCAGAACTAACACCCATTGAGACGTCCACTGTATGCAATCACTGCGGATTAACCATCTGATTCAGGAAAATATAAGCTTTATCCTTCTGTGATGTTTTTGGTTGTTGTCTTTAATTGTACAGTGCTGATACATCTATCGGATCGATGATTCATTTGTTAATTTATAGCATTTGGTCATTGACTACATGAACCGATGTTGTTAACGTAGACTTAGTTACTTGGTCATAAATTCCTCTGTATACTTGACCATTCAAATTTTTCCTCGATAGTAAATAAATATTCTCACAGTCACTTCTTACAGAATGTCACAATTGTAATGCTTCTCTGTACCTCCTACTATCTTAACGAAGACTTATTTAAAGTTGTAACCACTTACTAACTCCAGTAATTTGGTACATATCCCTTTTTACATTTTTGCGGTTTACAGTTGCTTCTTATTTTCTTAATGATTTAAAATCTCTTAAAGCACATAGTTTAATGTCAGATTGGAGAATGCTGCTCTGGACTTACAACAAACAACGAGAAATTCAATTTCCTAAATTCCAACAGCAAGTATTCGACTAGAGAAACAAATTTTTAAACCGCTCCTAACTGACCGCAATCACGAATGAGTGTAAGTAAACGGATTCAGTAAATCAGAAAACCTGTTTTCGACTGAAGTTTTACTAAAAACCACTGAATGTTTTTCTTTCAATTTTAGCATTGTAAACAAAATAAAGACCAGGAACAAGTAAAATATAAAAGATCTAGGACAACGATGAACAAGTCAGTAAGAAATCTTATAATGTACTGGTTGCATCATACACACAAAAATAAATCTGTTTGAGTGCTTGACTAACCGGGCTGCTTAGAAAAAAACAATAACGAAGGAAATCAGAAGATTTACCTTGATTTGATCATCCACATTTGGTAAAACCATACGTAAAAGGTAAGCCAAATCCATAGAACATATGGGCTTATGAGAGAATGTATTAAAGTAATCCTTCAAGAATGTCAATGGATTATGATTATAAACAAGATGCATTCCCAACTGTACCAGGTTCGCATACATATCCAAACGAGCCAATTGCGGACCACGATTATAAGGATGATTCGTTATGGCGATGTCGATTAACGACATAACTTTTTCTACACTATTTTATGAAAAAAATTGGCTGCTCATTCATCTTTCATTAAAGTAATAGTAAATGAGTACCAAACAGTGTTTAAAACAAATCGAAGTAAAAAAACGATTGCAAGCTCACTCAACGTCTAATGTATCAGAAACGGCAAATATAGAGACGTGTTGAACGTTGATTAGCACCAATTAACAGAATCCATCCATAAACAGTAGCTAGAATTAAGGTTACTACACAAATGGTCTTAAACACTATTGGTGCATATAACTAAATACCCCGGGGCAATTTCCTGTTTCTCGAATATATAAAAGATATCTGATAAATTTGTTTCTAAACTGTCAGATGCAAATAACCTATGACCACATGTCATATGCTAAGCTAATAGGGGGAAGAATAATGAAGAGATTACAATGTATTAAACAGGTTTTTAAAAAATAAAATGGAAACCAAATTATGTATTGTAACTCGGACTTACTTAGAATGCACAAAAGCTAATATAAATTACTGCTATAGATTATGTTATTTATTTTATTTAAAATACAAGGAATAACGAAAAGATAGAACTTTAAGCACATATTCTTTGCACATCGAGATCAGTCGTCACTAGAGTACAACTTCGCGCAAATATGTATTACATGTTTATATACTTTTAGTGAACTGACAGATCCATCACTGTGAGTTAAAACACTGGTTTGAACCTACATACTTCTGAATAGTAAACTGAGTAAATAAAGCGGAAGCGGAGTGGGACTGGCTTTAAATTACATTCCGATGTCTATGATCACTGGCCCCAAAAAGAACAACTTTCTTCAGTGTATAGAATATAGTCCTAATTTTGGTTGCTCACTAACATTGAGATTCCTTTCACAATTTATTTCCCTTACTACTTTCTTTTCTCCAGTGTTGCTACATGAACAGATATTTGTCAGTACCAAGTTCCAGGTCGTTTATTAAAGACCGTATACATACCCAGAAAGATATTGAAAGGACCTTTACAAAGTGTGATTTTTGAACAATTACAACTTAACCGTATTCTGAAGAATTTACTGCATACATTCACGGTTGATCCACGAGACAATCTTGATAAGAAAAGGACGTAAGCATATGAGTAAGCAGATGAATCATCTCTTTAAGCTAACTCTAATCCATCACATTGTGATTAATGTAGGTTTTATGGAATACTTTTAGTGGGGAATATACTATGTACTTGACTGAAGCAAGTGGGGACACATGGAATTTGGTAGCAGAATAATTCTTGTCGTGCTACGATAAGACGTACAAAAAGAATACAGGTTAGTGAAATTTAGATCTCTTTTGGAAATATTACCAATTTGTAGATTTGGTGAAGCCGGACTACTGGTACTGAACCCAAAAGTCACAACCTGGACCTCAACAACTAAGTTTAAAAGCAAAGTGGAACAAACTTGATTAAGACTGTATTGACCACACCAACAAGATATAATGCGTGATGTATTTTGATTACGAAGCGATAAAGACATAAAAATATTAACGCATTACCGCTGTATGTCTTTTAAAGACGTCTCAATTAATTTTTTCCATGGTGTCCAGTCGTCTGGGTTGATTTGTATTTGGGATTTTGCCAACTCATAAAGATCATCCCATATGTCCAAATGAGCTAACAAACTGAGCTTCATGGAAGAGTAATCGCAAATGTAGTCCTCGTTATCGATACGATCTATTGGAATGATTGATATTATCTCAGTATAGTGCTTTTTTACCTGTAATGTCTTTTCGACTAAGAAGTTTATAAGCTTCTTCATGCTTTTGAAGGCGAGCAAGTAATTCTATTAGCACCTGAAGCTCAGAATGTCTAGACATTTTTCCGTTCTCGGCTTCCCTGATTAGCATCTTCTCCGCCAGCGGCAAATACATACGATGTCCCATTATAGGATTTGATTCGGCTTGCATTATTGTGCTCATTATAACCCAGTAGTTGAACGCACTTGACGGGAATTTTGTAAAAGAAGCCTAGCAGTTGCTTGCTGTGCAGAAAAGTTCCTTTCCTGAACATGATGAAGGAATAAACAGACCAACAAATCTTCTCTGTTAGGTGACCTTTCAAGAGAACGTTTTAAGAACTCATCTATTTTTTCACCCTGTCCAGTTTTCCGAAAATAACACATGATGACATTAAGTGTAGACTCATCAGTGGGGTATGACTTAATGAGTTCGTCCGCTAGCAGATTGGCTTCAGTAATTTTTCCAGATCTATGGAGTGTAAGTGCTTTAAGTGCCTAGTAGAAATCTTGTAGGATAAACAAGTGATCAAACCTTTGCCGACGTGCAATTTGGTGTTTTTTTGAGAATTTTATTTGCCTCTTGGAGTGCCTTTTTATAATTGCCACTTTCGAAAGGTTCTGTAGTACTTTTATTTTTATCCAATCTGCTGATATAGAAGACATACCGACTATCGACCTCAACCGAGACTCCTGGAAATCCAAACCAACCGACATTCCGAAGAGACAGCTTTGAACCACGCGGCTCTGAAAAGCTTGAACAAATGCATTATTTGTAGTGGTAGGTAACCTTCCCCCCCCCAAGGTTCTGCTAGTCTTCAGTATTATTACTGACTAGTTTGCTTACTAGTTTCAGTGAAAATACCTTAGCATCCTCACCAGATCACAATTGGTTATGTTGTGCTACTCATCTCTCGCGACAATTAGTCAGCTTAGTTCACGTATTTTCAGACCAGTTGAATATCCTCCAAATGTATCTTCGAATCTCGTCATTCCTGACCCGTTGAATGACCAGGTTTCGGGTCTTCAATTAAAAAGATGTTGAGGACAACGGAGTTCTCAAACCATTGATATTTTTATGTTATAACCATAGGGGAAAAACGTTCCGTGTCAATTGGCTTTCCTCTCTAGGATTAATAACCCAGTTATGTCAAACCCGGAAAATTATTGAAAAGGAAGGATTATGTCATTACATCAAAAGGAGAATTGTGATGAAAGATTCGAAATACAGATCAGTCATCTTAATCTTCATAGGTGTATATGTCATGACAAGATAAATCGAATAAACAACTCGAGCAAATCACTGGACAACGTCAATTGAATTTCACTGAACTATGTAGTCAAAACTTTTGGACATTTCTTCAGTCTTAAATAGAGTAGACGATGTGGCGGTAAATAAATTTCCAAAATAAATGTCTCTGTAAGTCCTCGATATTGGATGCTGGCCACATTAGTTTTAATGGACTCACCTAGCTGAAGACGCTCGGTCATGTATACGCACCGGATCACGAGTGGGAAAGCCGTGCTCAAGATCCCCTGCAATCGCTAGCCAGTCTAGCCCAGTCGATTCTTGATATAGTGAAAATTCGCATTTTGCCATTTGGTAAATAAAGAAGGAACGAATTGAGGGAAGAAATTCCTTTTCAATTCTTGATATATTGATAGCCTATCGAATATATCTGCGAACCTCCCCGATTCTGCCTTTTGCTTTCACTTGGTGGGTACGGCTCATATTAGGTGATACTGGTTAAAACATTGTCAAATTCAATATACTTGTGGCATCTTCAAAGACAAGGTGTTATGCCCCAATATAATCTCTATTGGTACTGGTTGGTGACTAATTTAGTTGTTGTACGATAACATTTCGGTTGAATCACTTTTGTCAGTCTAGTTGACCATGGCTATAGAACCTAAACGTTCTGTTATCAGACTGCTATTTACTCACAACTTACCGAAAAGTACTCCGAATTCATAACTCACAACGGCCTCTGAATTAACTAGCTAAAGTCGTTTCCCCTACACATTTACGGCAGCCCAGCTGTCATAAGATGCTCTCTCTATCCACCAGAAGTTTCGGTTACTTACATCAGACGTCCTCTCCAGCACAAGCTCGAATATAATATCCCCCTTTACTAATACCATCTTCATAACCTGTCGAAGTAGTAAATCTGATCACGCCTCTCAAAGGGATTTAACATCAATATCTGACTACATCAGTATATGGCTACATCAGTTGCATGCTATGGAGTATACCATCATTTGATTCCTCTCCGAAACAACAAGGAGTCTAGACCATGGACTATCACAAATAGTCTTCGGTGAGTGATACTGAACCGTAACGGAATGACTGATCACGTAAAATGTGTCGCTGACTTAAAGAACTAATCAGAGAACGCTGAATGTTTAACAAGTCCTGAAGGTCATGGATCGCTAACGCGGTTTTATTATGTACTACAGGTTGGTCGTAATCTGTGTAACGTGACCCACTTTAATCTGTTTTCTCAAAGTGCCATATTTCTAATGGGCGTCTACCCATTCTTTAAGCCTTTTTAGGTGATAAAGGGTAGGATAAATTTACCAATCCTGTTGTCTGAATTATTACTATTCTCAAACAGCTTATTGGTGTATAAGTGTTGTGAATAAACCATTTCGGGTTTTTTTGGAAATGCAGTTGTACACAGGTTTCAATAATGTTTGCAGAATATTCGTCATATCTAAACAAATTCTATAGAATTTGGAAGAATATTAAGCTGACTTCAAAGAAAAAAAGAGGAAAACTTGAAGGAGAGAAATGTTCAATATATAAATAATTTACCAAGCATATTAGTGAAAACAGAATAAGAATAAACGGTGATATGAGTATTACCAAACGAAAAAATAAATAAATAAATGAGAAAATGAGTCGTTGATTTAGTGTAGTTTGATGGTAGAATAAGTGTTTGTGTAGTGTCATAAAAATCCTAACTAATTGGAAATGGTGATCAAATTCAATTTAGTATGCTGAGGATAAAATGAATCCGGAAAGTTAGTTCGTCCCAGTGCAAAATTTGTGCGGTTATTGAGAAACAATGGAAAATATTTTCGACAATTTGTCAAAGCTAGTATCCTCATGGCATGGTCTGTATAGACACCCCACCGGTAGATAATTGTTCGGATCAAACTCCAAGTGGAGTCATATATAGCAGCAAGACATCCATTCTAAAATGTTTGAACGGGCATAAATAATTTTACCTCCTCTTATTCCATGGGATCTATCGGATCGAGGGAAAATGTAGTTTAAAGAGTCATAGGACATGGATGATTTGCACTACGTTTCTGCAATAAGTACAATGATTGGGTTTACAGGGAGTTAAATGGTTTTAAATGGCTGACTTTATTGGAGGGAGCGGGCATTGAATGAGAGAATAGAAAGCCGAGAGGTATCATCGAGATGCCGGTTAGAGAATGGATTATGGGCAGTAGCTCCGTGAATACCCATGAGATTAACTAAGGTTTGAGTTTTTTTGTGAAGAGGACTAGATTCAGAAACTTTTTTATCATTTGTAATGTACTTACTGTTGCCAGCAGAGAAGCCAGTGGAAGTGCATAAAAAGTCTCCTGATTGTTATCGACTTTTACATCTGGTAGAAGCATTGTGCACATCTTGGGAGCAGAACCAATAAGGTTATCAGGTTTGTTTATGAGACCAAGTAACCACTTATACTTGGTGGATGTGTAACATGTTGCAGACGTTTGTTTCCAAGGTTTGTGGCTGCTTTTAGCTCCCATGTAATTTAGAGAGAATCCAGTGTTAATTAGGTTTAAATATATCAATGTCTAGTGCGTGGTCAGTGTTAGTTATGCCCATAAATAACCAATCACGTCGTTATTCAGGCGCCCACCACCATGTCAATCTGGCCCGAAGTATCTGTAGACTATCCCTGTTGCATGTGACCTGTCAAATAAAAGGCATTATTATCCTATTATAAGAGCCTGACTTACAATTTTCATTCATTTCTATATGATACGCTCTACTGGTCGGTATGTTTTTGCGTCCCACATTACTAATGCGATTCCTTTTTTATTTTACCAATGCAGTTTTCTTATGCTTAGGAATGGATAAAGTTTAATTCAAGATGTTTTTTATTCTGACCGCAGTTTTCACATAGACTATGGTGTCGCCAGTATCGCGTTTACATTTCTAATCGATTATCTGTAGAACAACTTAAACCACACAGTCAGTTATACAATATCTATAGATATTTTCCCCGTTATTCGTTTCACATTTACTGCAACTGGGTGTTGCAATGACGGGAATTTGAACTTTATTAACTAATTCATAGTCAGCACAACTGTTCATCGTCAGATCTATATCAACATTTTTAGAGGAATGGACGTCATTTGGGTTGAAGTTACTTTATTCTAGGTTCTGAATTTTAAGAGATTCAAGAGAGTTTATTGATGGCGGCCTACCCAAAAACCGAGATTTTTTCTCAGAACCAGACCTAATTTTATGACATTTGGGATCAGGAAACGTTTGAGACATTGATGCTAGTGCCTTTCCTGCCTTTTGCTCCCATGGTGTTCTATGAGAAAGATTCTTAACATTCCTGAAAATCTTTTTTTAATGGTGGTATTGGATAAAATTGGAAATCCACTGGCGTTCACAGGTGTTTTGAACTTGAATAATATCGGTAAATACAAGCTAGGTTGACTTGTTTTCATTCTTGTGCATACACATTGTACGTATTTCATGTTTCTGGTTGCAAGCGGCTTAGACCTAATAGTTTTAGAACGTGTTCTTGGTATATCAAACACGATTACATTGCAGGATCGTCTTATTCTTTCAAACACCTCTGAATCAACATGATCCAGGAAATTATTTATGTCGCCCATTTGATCTGCAATTTCTGAGAGTTTTGGGTTGACAAGATACTTAGGCGAATCGAGAATATTCACGTCATTTTGCTTATGTCATCCATATAGTTGTCATCATGGTTTACCAACAGAGTCTTTAACATATTTGGAATGGCTTGTATGTTTCGGGATGAGTCGAGTAGCACGACTCGTTATATCCACCGTGAATCGTGTCTACAGAAGTGTTTGATCATGAACGTTTCATACATTTCGTCAGACGCCTGGAGTCAGAAGCTTTCTTTTTTTGAGGCATAATTGAAAAGTGAGTAGTAGCAGATGAATTAAGGGAAGTGTTGAAATAAAAACAGGAGTGCGAAGATTAGGTTGGAGGAATTAAGATTGTTCGGAAATCATGAACTGTGTTTAGGGCAAGTTTAAGAGTATCGTGATCCTCAATAAAAGTGACAAATGGAAGGGGAAGAAGTGGCTGGAAGATCATAGTAGTGCTGTAGTATATAGGTATACGTTTGAATGTAAAATAGAACAAAACTGTGCGTACTGGATAAATCTTACTCTCGAGATTACGTGAGAAGATCTGTTTCATATAATACAGCAACCTAGACAGGTCGATATTCGGTATCAAACGATCCTAATGGGTGGTGTATATGGCATATATATAAACTGAAAGCCTGCGCTAGTTAAAATTGTAGAGTGCAGTGGTATGTAGATTTAAAGAGGATTAATGCCAACTAGAATTAATACTACACTTTATGACCCAAATATGTGAAACGGTGGTCTCGGTTAAAGTACTGACCAAAACCTATAACAGACTCACTGCACTGAACAAGCAGTTACGAAAGAACTGAATAATAGCATCCAAA